GCCAGAGGAGCCTGAGATACCAGTGTTGCAAGAGCTGTTTCTCCCTCCCTCTGACTTCTCTGGAATCCCAGCCCCGCCCTCCCCTAGCCTCACGGCCTCCCCAGATTGAGAGGTCCCTGGAGAGGTCTCCTCACCCTGTGGATGGGGCACCCGGAGCCGTCAGAGACGTGGAGCCCACCCTGTCTGTGTGCTCCCGGAGGGACGGCCCCCGTTTCCTGGAGACGCCCCTACCCTGCATTCCCCTTCCTGGGACACAGGGCAAACCCAGCCCGAAGCCACAGGGATTGTGAAATTTTGGTTCTGGCCGGCGGAGACGGCTGGCCTGTTGAGCACAGTCCTGGGCAAGCAAGGGTCATGCTTGCACCACAAGCGCCTGCGCCTGGGGGAGAGGGATGCCCCTCAGAGCCCCTCATGCCCGTGGACCCAGGCCCACCCCAGAAGATTGCTCTCTGCTCCATGACGGAGGCCCTGAAGCCCAGGCTGCCCCGGGGGCTGCAGCTGTGCTGGAGGGTGGCTGAGAGCCTGGGGTCCTGATACCCGGGCCCCCCCGCCCCCACCTTTACTCCTGGTGCAGAAGCTGAACTTCAAGGCCTCACACATGGACGTGTAGAGGCTGGAGAGCATGGGCAGGTGGGTTGTGGGAGGGTGAGGATGGAGGTCTGCGGGGAGGCCAGAACATGGGTCCTTCAAGGTGGGGCTCCAGGCTGCAGGGACACCTGGGGCGTGGCCTTGGTATGCGTTATCTGTGCCTCATAATAAATAATTATAAACGTAGTGGCTAAAAGCACATCCGTTTACTATCTCACACTTTCTGTGGTCAGGAGTTGGCAGAGATCTCTGCGCAGGGTCTCAGCAGACTGTACTCAAGGTGTCAGCTGGGCTGTGACCCCATCTGAGAATCAGGGGCCCCTTCAAAGCCACGTGGTTGTTGGCAAAATTCGGTCCCCTGTGGTCGCAGGGCAGAGGTCCCCATACCCTTGAGGGCTACCAGCCGGGGACCACTCAGCTCCTTGCCATGTGGCCCCCTCTATAGGAATTTCACTCTATGGCTGTTTGCTTCTTCAAGCCTGTAGGAGAATTTCTGCAGCTTCAAATCTCTCCCCGCAGGGAAGGCTGGACCCTCTTCTAAAGGGCTCACCTGATGAGGTCAGGCTCACCCAGGGTAATTCCTGTTTGAGTGACTCAGAGTCAGCTGATTAGAGACCTTAGTTACATCTGCAACGTCTTCACCTTTGCACATACATTACCTAATTATGAGAGTGAAATCCCATCACATTCCCGGTTTCACTCAGATTATACTGGCCCTTTTAGAATTCTGCCTTGGGACTTCCCTGGCGGTCCAGTGGTTAAGACTCTGCGCTCCCAATGCAGGGGGCACGGGTTCCACCCCTGGTCAGGGAACTAAGATCCCACGTGCCGTGCGGCACAGCCCAAAAAAAAAAAAAAAATAGATGGAATTCTGCCTTCCCTCTGGGTGAAAACACATCATCATCTTCATTCACATCAACGCTGGTGACCTTAAACCTGGGAGAAAATGCTAGGTGTTTATGCTGTTGTTAATCTCGTTAACAGTCTGACGAGGAACGTACCCCCTTTACAGATGAGAAAAACGAGGCTCAAAGCACATTGGCATATGAAGGGCACATGAAGGGTGCCTTCTGCTGGGTGCTTCAGGTCACACCAGGTTGGAGGGAGGTAAAGCCTGGACTTGACCTTGCACAAACAGACCCCCACCTGGCTGCCGACAGGTCCCACCACCTACACAGCCTGTGACTGACAGCCCCTCCCCAGCCAGGCGCTGGGCACCCAAGGAAGCACAAGCTGACTGCTCTCAACTCCCCCAAAATGCGGTGGGATCACGGATGGTGCGGACCCTAGTCCGAGGGGCAGCTTCCATCCCCTGAAGACTCTCAGACTCGTTCAGGAGGAAGAGCTTCCGTGGCCTGCCTGAAGCCTCTGCTGATGGAGAGCTCCCTTCTCCCTGAGGTAAGCTTCCCCTTCTCTTGAGAACTCAGCCGGAGAATTCAGCTTCATGCCGAGACACACCCACCTCCTTGCAGCTCCCACCCGCCCGTTATTCGGAGGTGATGGGTTGCTGGGGCCCCACCACGATGATGAAGATGACAGATACGCACATACTTGAGATGTCACTCTCCCCCTCTGAGCTTCAGTTTCCTCATGCAAAGCTAGGGGCCAACCTAAACTTGGTTCTCCAAAGGTGGAGACAGCGTGCTGGCAGGGAGCTTCAGGGCCTCGTAGTCAGGAAGGGTGCTGTGTGACCCTGGGCAGGTTGCTTTCCTTCTCTGTTTGGGAAAGTGAGTGGGAGAGTCTTCAGGGACCCCCCACAAGGAGCGCGATTTTTATCCCCAGCCCCGGGGACTTCTCCAGGAGGGGCCCCTTCTCCCTGCTTCCATGGCTCCGCCCTGTGCCTGGCCCACGGTCGTTACTGAGCCTGTGCAAGTAAGTGCGCAGTGAACCTGAGTGAGAAGGTGACTGGATGGACCCAGTGGAGACACTGTTTCTAAAACTGGGGCAGCAGGGCTTCTGGGCTGTGTGCCTACTGTGCGCCAGACGCATGCCCATCTCACGCCTACTCTGCTGAAAGAGGAGATTGGGGCCTTGCTGCCCGGGGCCCCGGCCACCAAAGGAACAGAGAAGGACCGGAGCCCAGTCGGACTGGAGCCCAGCTGGCCTGGGGCCACGCCAGCCGCGCGCTGGCCTCCAGCCGCCTGCTTCTCGCCTTGGCCACAAGCGGGGGGCCGGCCACCCTGTTCCGCGTGCCTACTGTGTGCGGGCACAGTTTCTCTTCATGCTCAGAACCTTGAGGTAGGGTTTGCTTTTGGTCACAGATGCAGAGGAGACTGAGGGTCTGAGAGGCCGAGCGACTCGATCAGAGTGACTCAAGCTTTGGTCCGGGGCTCTGCAGCCTGCGGTTGCTGGAGCCCTTCCCGTAGCAATAAGCACCGTTAATAGGAAACAGGCCACTACTGGCCTGGCCCTGGCCCTGCGCTGAGCCCTCTGCCTCTCGAATGCTCACTCCAACCCAGATGCAGGGAGTATCACCAAACCGGGGCTCAGAGAAGTAAACTTTCTCACCCCAGAGCCCACAGCTTCTAAGTGGGGAGCTGGGATTTGAACCCAGATGCTGGACAACCGAGCCTCGCCTGGACCTCCAGGTCTGCTGCCCGAGGGCAAGGGGTCCCAGGAGGCCAGAGCCCCCAGGGGGGGCCTGGGGTGGGGGACCGGGACCCCGGGCGGGAGGGGCAGGGGCACGACAGCTTGTGGAAGGTCAGGGAAGGCACGGGTTCCGAGGCACGTGGTGGGCCAGGAGTGAGCCGGCCACCGTTCCCAGCCCATGCGGCGAGGCTGCGGGCCCATGACCTCAGAGAGCTGCGTCCTGGGGTTACTGTGATGGGGCTTCCGGCTGCATCCAGCGCAGGTCACCCCGCCTCTGTGTTTCCAATTACAGCTGGCCCCCTCCTACCTTCCACACCCGCCCAGCCCACAGAGAAGGCAGCCTGGGGTCAAGGTTAGATGGAAGGTTTGTTGGCAGTTCTGCTGGGACCAGCTCCTTCCCCCAGGAGGTGCCAGTTCTGGAAGCTCTCTGCTGCCCCCTGGTGGGGGAGGCCGGGGAGGGGCCTGCAGCGTGGCAGGGCCGCTCTGGGGCTCCCCGACCCACCCCAGGACCAGAGGAAGGATGGAGCCCCCCTGCCCTCCTTCCCCGGGCCTTCCAGGCGCTGCATCCCGGGCGCAAAACCAAACCAGGGCTCTCCTGCCTCGGGAGCCCCTCTCCAGGCTCCGTTTTTTTCTGTTAATGGGGAGGATGGGAAGTACAATGGCTGCTTCAGGGTCCAGCAGATTTCTTTGGGGACACGGAAATGTTTTGAGCTGGACAGAGTGGTGGCTGCACAGCATTGCGAAGCCCTAAGTGCCACTGAACTGCTCACTTTAATGGTTAATTTTATGTTACGTGTATTTCATCTCATGAAAAAGAGAAGCTTCCGGACGTCCCTGGTAGTCCAGTGGTTAGGAATCCAAGCTTCCACCGCAGGGGCATGAGTTCAATCCCTGGTCGGGGAACGAAGACCCCATAGGCCACACAGCCAAAAAAAAAGAGAGAGAGAGAAGCTTGGAATAGTGCTGTGGGGTGGGTGAGAGCCACGGGGGATGCCCACGGCCTCTGAACTTGGCACCCCGTCTGGAAGTCGGGGAGCTGAGTTCAACCCTGCCTAGACTCCTGGTGCTTGGCGGGTTGCTGGGAGGGAAGGGGAGAGAGAGGGCGGGGAGGGCTGGGGTAGACGGCCCAGGTAAGCCTTTAAATACACTCCGCAGTGGACGCCACGTCGGGCTGGAGGCCCTGACACCACGTGTCCTGAGGGCCGACTGGGGGCTGGAGGTGGGAGTGGCCAGGCTGGGCAGCAGGACAGCCAGGTGGGGGGCACTTGGACCCCCTTCTCCTGTCTCCATCACTTTCAGGACACAGAACTGGGGTAGAGAGGTACGGAACCATGTACCCGCCCTTGGGTCCTAATGGGACACATCGCATGGGGCAGGGTGGCAGAGTGGTGCAGTGGTTACTATGCTGGGCTCTGGAGCTCTGCCCCTACCTACCTGCTGTGTGACTTCAGGCAACAGACCTAACTTCTCTGTGCCTCTGTTTCTTCAACTATAAACAGATATAACAGTCCCGACTTCACAGGGTGGTTTGAGGATTAAAGGCAGACAGAGCACAGTGCTGGACATTCAGTGAGGGTCCAGGGAAGGGAGAAGAGGCCCAGGGAATCCCACCACCTGAAACTGGGGTTTGAGGGAAGGACTTGCCCAAGGCCACACCGTGAGTGACAGGCTGGGGGGACCTGGCCTGGGTCGGCTAGACTCACAGTCCTGCCCGCTCATACCCGAGGACGGGATGCAGCAGCAGGGTGGCCCCCGGGGACAGGGCCCAGTCCCCAGACACTCCCGAGGAGGCAGCCCAGGGAGGGGAGCCTGAGGACTCCAGGTTTCGGCAAAAAACATTTATTGCTATTTGACCCCTGCCCTCGTGCCCGCATTTCCCAGGAAGCGAGCCCCCTGAGACACTGGGACAGACGGAGGCCACGGCTCAGGACGGGGGCCCGGGGACCAGCCAGGCCGCCCGCCCGCAGCACCGCCCAGGGGCCAGGTGTCCCCGGCGGATGTTAAGCTCGGTGGCAAAGGTCCGAGCCTTCTGGTAGAAGAACAGGGACTTCTCCCGGTCCACGAGGAAGTTGTGGTAGATGGCGGCCAGGCGCGTGTAGATCTTCATCTGTGCCTTCTTGTTGCCCAGGTCCACGGCCGCTGCCAGTGCCAGCTGGTAGTACCCGGCCGCGTCGAGCGGGTCCTGCAGGGGAGACGGCATGTAATCAATAGGACAGCTCCGCACCGGGTGCTTTGGGGGAGCTGTCTCCCCCAAGGCTGTGCCCTGCCTGCCTCTCCAACCCCAGGGCTGGGCCCACGACAGAGCTCCAGGGGCACAGGACGCTTCATCGCCCCAGACGGGCCGCAGCTTCAGTGCCTCTGGGCTGCCCGTGCACGCTTCCCCCAAGGAGGCGCCCACCTGCTCCCGGGGCTGCCTGAGAGCAACTGGAGGTCTGCAGGGGCCTGGACTGGTGTCTCGGTGGCCCTGGTCCCTCCTGTGCTCTAGACCCACTGGTCCTCCCCCTTCCTGGAGCCAGGGTCTCGAACCTCGTAGCACCCAGCGTCCCCTCGTCCTGGAAGCCTCTTCCCTGCTCACCCCTGGGACCTGGGGGGACATCTGTGGCTTCCCCTTGAGCTGAGCTGGGGTCTGACCGGCTGCTCTGAGAGCCCCCAGCAGGGCTACCCCGGCCCAGGGTGGCCACGGCTTGACTCCCTCCAGCCCACGTCCACACTGATGCCAGCACGAACGGCCTTCCCCAGGCCAGGCCCAGCGCAAAGCCGCTCATGGGTGTCATCTCAGAATCCCCTGCAGCTCCAAGGGGGCGTGCCTCCCCCCAGGTCATGGGATCCCGTTTCAGACACATCTTTGCCTCAAACCCAGCGTTCCCAGGCTGGGATGTTCCCCACCCCGCCAACTCCTGTCTCCCACCCCAGCATCCCCAGGTCCTCCACCCGAGGTCACCCAAGGGACTGCTCTAAACCCAAACCCAGCCCGGCCACCCCCTGCTCACAACACCTGCCCAGGACAGAGGACAAAGTCCAAAGTCACCAGCCCTGGCCCCTCACTACCCCCCCGCCCCCCGCCGAGCAAGGACCCAGAAGACAATTAAAGCAGGTGTGTGTAGCAGTTCAGCGACACTGTCCCAGCCCCGGCCCCGGCCAGGCACAGGACCCTGTGTGGATGGCAGGGACGGGGAGGCCAACACGGCTGATTCTGGAACTACAGGACCACAAGGGTCGACCAGCATTGAAACAGAGGGAAGCTGTGGGAGCCTGGGAAGCACCTGACTCAGCCTGGGGTGGGATGGGAGGGCTTCCTGGAGGAGGAGGCATCTCAAATAATGGAAGGAATTGGCCAGAGTGGGCGGTTGGGGGTGGTGGTGTGCATTCCTGTGCATGTGTGCACATGTGTGTGTAGAGGCTAGCGGGTGGCAGACCCAGAATTCACACCCAAATCTTTCCTATCCAAGCCTCGCTCTTTCAGCTACGACCCACCACACACAGGCTAAAGATGGTCCTGCCTCTGTCCAGGTCCTCTTTCTCCTTCCCATCCCTGCCCCAAGCAGGTGAGCCCCTTGGTCACACACAGGGCACGAGGGGGCCGCTTTCCCTCCTGGGCACGTGGAGAAGGATGGGAGGTGAGGGAATTCTAAGGCCTCAGCGTGGTAAGGCAGGTGTGGCCTTGGCAGGGCGATCACGGTGAGGCTGTGGATGGTAGCACAGCCTGGGAAGCCCATTTGGAGGGAAGCGAAGGCGTTCTCTGCCCCTTGACCCCAGCTGCCCAGCCAAGGGAACCTGGCCTCAGCTGCAGCCCTGCCCTTTCCTTCCTGCCCGGAGTGACCGTGGAGGGATTAGCCCCCGTCCCCAGGGCTCCCTCCCAGCGTCAGGGGCCAGCGAGCGTTCCGCCTGGGCTTAGATCAGATACCTGGGGTCTGGAACTGACCCTGGCCTGGCTCACCCCCCCTTCCCCATCTTGGGTAAATCTGTTCACCTCCCCAGCCTCAGTTTCCCCTTCTTGTTTTGAGCTGAGGAACCTCACACGGCTCCCTGCTGAGGTACAGAAGTGATCATGCAGAACCTGGGGTGGTACGTGCTCGATGTGGCCCTATCCTCAGACCGTCCAGGGCCACAGGGCTCGGGGCGAACGGAGAGGTTGGCTCAGGAGAAGCTGGCCCCAGTCGCTCCACCACCAGGCCCCCCGCCCAGGAGGGGGGCCCTGATGTGGAGAGAACGAGCAGGGTCGCAGGGCCCCAGGGTGCCAGGGTGTGAGTCTCGGAGGCCCATGCCCGCAGGGCCACAGGGCTGCAGAGTCCCAGGCGCTGAAGGCGAAGTGCGCTATTCCTCATTCTACCGTAATTAGCTACCCACTCCTGGCCTCAGTCTCCGCCCTGTCCTGTGGACTCACCAGCTCCTCCTACAGCAAAGCATTTGAAGAGCCAACCACACAAATCCCGGACAGCACGGAGCCCGGACAGCATGGAGCCTGGACAGCATGGAGTCTGAACAGCAAGGAGCCTGGACAGCACGGAGCCCGGACAGCATGGAGCCCGGACAGCATGGAGCCCGGACAGCACGGAGCCCGGACAGAATATAGCCCGGACAGCATGGAGCCCGGACAGCATGGAGCCTGGAGAGCACGGAGCCCGGACAGCACGGAGCCTGGACCCCGGTGGGGCTCAGCCGCAGGGGTCATCACTGCCCTTGGGATCCCCCAGCACTGCCTGGCTCTGACAGAGCAGAGGCTGCAGTGACCACTTCTGACCACCATGTGTCACCAGTGCACAGGCTGGTCTGCCTATAGGCAGGGGACTGGGGGTTGCCTGCAGGGAGTGGGGAATCTTCCAGGGCCACGCCAGCTCCTAGATGCCATTAGTTGGGGAGGGGAAAGGGAAGTGCTCAGCCCCTGGGCTGGGGCACCCTCACCCCTCAACCAACACAGAGCAGGGACACTGTGCAGGTGCTGTGCTAGACGCAGAGTGGGGGTGATGGGGGGTGTCTGCCCGTACGGGGAGTGGCGGGGAACAGTAGAGGAGACATTTCCAGGCCCTCGTCTGCATCCACGGCGGGGCTCAGAGACAAATGGAAAAGCGGTCCCCTTCTCCTCCCAGTCCTGTGGCACCCCACCTCGAGCCCCAGGTTCCCTCTCTGTGAAGTGAGGTGATAACAGTGCCCCTACCCCCATCCAGGTGATGTGAGGATTCCAGGAAGGAAGCGCTCTGCACAGACTGGCGAGCTTCCTGGAGGAGACGCCAGGGCTTGGGTTGCACCTTGCAACGTGGGTCTCTGGGAATAAGGGCGACCCTTCCCCTGCCCCAGAAATGTCTTTATCTCCCTCCCCCATTATTCTGTGGCTAATTCCTGCTTGACTCCCGAGACTCAGCTTTGCTCAGCTCCTCCAGGAGCCCCCCGCCGCCACTACGCACCATTTTGTCCTTTACCCAATGGCTGCATCATCTGTTCACACGTCAGCCTCCTGCCTGACCCTGAGCTCTAGAAGGCAGGGCCTGACCCGCAGGGGGACTCGGAGAGTGTCCGCTGGCCTTGCCTCTCCTCACAGGAAGCCCACTGGGACCCAGGCCTCCCCGGTGTGCGTGCACGATGGCCGCCTCACCCCAGCGTCCCAGCCCTGCCTGCAACCGCCCACCTTGAGGTCGTAGAAGATGATGTCACCGAGCACCAGATACACCTTCACGTAGTACAGGGTCTCCTCGTCAAATTCCAGTGGCGAGGTGCAGAGCGAGAGTGCCTTGAGGTAGAAGTGCTCGGCCAGCTCCCCGTGGCCCAGCTGCTGGTGCAGGGCAGCCAGCCGATGGTAGGCCACCCGCTCGTTCAGCCGGTCCCCTGGGGACGCAGGGAGGGGTCACGGGTGAGGACATGGCTGCTCAGGGTGGCGGGGCACAGGTCAGCCAGGAGCACCCGGCCGTCACCGTCTCCGAGCTCCAGCCGGCCCCTTCCTGGCCCCAGACTCACTTTCCCATCTGTGAAGGGGACCTGATAAGGCCCGCTCCCCTTCTTCCTCGGGGATGCGGCAGAGTCATGGGTCACGCTGCCCTGGCTCTGGGCCTGCACGGACCCTCCTGGACGGGGGGCTTTGGTGACTGTTTTGACTGGAGAACCCAAAGTCCTGCGGTCTGTGCACCTGCAGGTGCCAGGGCTCTGGTCAACCTGCAAACACGACCTTTGGCCTCCCGCTGTACAGTCAGCGGCCCCTACCCCGCCCTCGGGGAGTCACCACACGAGGCTGTCTCCAAGATCTCCCCCTTCCAGGGCTCCCTGCTGAGCACCTACTGTGTGCCCAGCCCTCCTGGGCTCCCTGTCTCGGGGAAGACATTAGGCACCGAGGGATGCGGGCACTGAGGGACCGGCCTCTGGAAAGGGGACCGGGATTTGGCCAGCCAGCAGGGGCTGCTGGCGGCGAGTGGGGAAGGGACAGCGGGAGGGGACAGCAGGCAGAAAGGCACGGGGTGGGCCCGCCTGGCGCCTTGGCCAGCCTTGTGGTCAGCAAGGTGGGGGGCGGCGGGGGAGCCGCAGAGCTGGCGTTGCTCGTCCAGCCTGCGGCGCTTCCTGAGACCCCGGGCGGGCGGGCGGGGCGGGTGCGCTGCTGCCCGTCTCAGCAGCCTGGCCCGCAGGAGAGGCGCCTGCAGCCCGGGAGACGCGCAGCCGCGCTCAGACCTCAGAGGTGGAGGCCCTGGGCCCGGGGTGCGGCTTACCGAGGGTGACGCTGAGGGCCAGGGCCGTGTGGGCGAACTCCAGGCCCTCCTGCGGCGCCTCCGTCTCGGCCAGCAGCGCTGCCAGCTTGTTGCAGAGACGCAGCTCGGCCTCCTGGCTCCCCGTGTTCACGGCCAGCGGCAGCGCCCGGTCCTGCGAGCACAGGCGGGCGGGTCAGGCCTCCGCCCGCAGCAGCCAGCCAGGCCCGGTACCCTCCTCAGAGCCCCCACTAACCCACTGGAGCTTTACACAGCTCTGCCCCCCCAGGAAAGGCCAGCTCAGAGTGGTGTGACACCCCCAGCGTCACTGGGCCACGAGTAAGCTGGGTGTGAGCCTAGCCCATCGAGCTACACCACACACACTCAGACCAGCCCTGACCCTCCTGGGTGGTGGGCGCCTGACCAGGAAGGTCCAACACCCCTCTAGGCTCTAAATACGCCGCGTTTATCTGTCCCCTGGGGCTGAGCCACACGCACGAGCTGGGCAGACGGACGGGGAGAAGCTGCCCTCCCTGGCAGGCACGTGCAGACCTGGCCCTGCTCCGGGTCCTCCCCCTGATGTGCTGTGTGTCCTTAGGCACACCCCTGTGCCTCTCTGAGACTGTTTCTTCATCTGTAAAACGGGGACAGTCCTCGCCTCCCAGGGGTGTTTGGATCACGGAGATGCATGTCCTGCGATGGTCCTTCTTTGCTCTGTCCCTCCCAGGCTGGGGCTGGGGGCCAAGGTCATCCCTGACCAAACCACCGGGAAACTAAACATGTGCGTGGGGGACGCCGCCTCCAGGAGGGATGCCCCCTGAGGCCCACCCGCCTGGACCCACAGCCGCCGCTCACCCGGTAGAAGGACACGGCTTTCTCCCGCTCCCAGGTCCCATTGAAGAAGATGTCTCCAGCCGCCTCAAAGAGCTGCAGCCCCAGCTTGGGGTCCCCTGTGTACAGGGCCGCGTTCTGTGCCACCTGTGGGGATGCAGAAACTCTCATGGGTCCCCCAGTGACCCGGCAGGGGGAAGCTCACAGCCACCTGCCGGCCGCCCGGGACCCTCTATCACACCGACACGGAGCGAGGGTTCTTTCCTCTCATACACCTCAGTCCCTGTGCATGCGGGGCCCTTGTCCCCTGCTGGCATGAGGACAAATCATCTAAGCTCTGTGTCCCAGGAGGAGGCCTTTCCAGCTGAGGCCCCAGGAGCCGGCACGTGTGGGCTGGGGAGGCGCTCGGGACGGAGCTCAGAGCCAGCCTCTGAATCCTGCCGGCCGTGCCCAGACCACAGCACCCTCTGCGCGGCTTCACCTGGGGCTCCCAAATCCTGGCTCCTTGGGGCCCCCTATCTTCCCTCCCGAGCACTTAGAGACACCCGACCGCATGTCCACTTGTCTCTCCCTCCAGAGGACTGAGGCTGTCGCTCCTCTGCCGCGTCCAGGGCTTCGCACGTGCCTGGCGCGTAGTAGGTGCTCAGAAAAAAACGCCAAGTGACGGAGGGGACCAGCCCTGGTCCACAGTCCAGCCACACCCAGCAGCTCGCAGCCCAGACCTTGCTGCACTCCCGGGCACCGCTGGGCCTTTGCACCTATGAGTCCTGGTGCAGGAATACCCCATATGCCTACCACCGCCCTACAATTCAAACAGCCTCCGTGACCCCAGGCTGACCGAGCGCACCCCCCGCTCCTTTCTGTGCCGCAGCCCTGGCCCCAGGCAGCATTCCCTGTAGAGGAGGCTGTACCCTCCACCGGCCGCCAGCTACTGATCTGGTTCGTCAACCCCGGCCTGGCCCAGGGGAGGGACACAGCAGGTGCCCCAAAAGGAAAAAAACCCACAAGGCTCTTGGGTCTCTCAGTTTGTCACAAATCACGTCATGTTTGAGAAACTGTCAAAAAACGGAGCTTCTGTGATAAATGTGTTTTTTAAGGAGAAACGCCGCGCGCTGCTGAAGCGAGTTCTGCGTGTCAGCGGGGCGGGCGCGACATCTGCACACTTATCGAGCGCTTGCTGTGTACCAACACAGTCGGGGGCGCTGTCCCCAGAGCCCCTGTCCCCAGAGCTCAGCTGGCTATGGAAGGTGCTGGAGGTCTGGGGCGGCGGGAGATGGCGCGCGCACCTGGCACGCGGTGGCTTAGGGGTGAGTGGGCGGGTGCGTGAGTGACCGCGCACACGCCCGGAGCCCTCGCACCTGGATGTAGACATCCACCAGCTCGTTCTGCTGGAGGATGTAGTAGATCTTCCCCGCCTGCAGCCAGGCGTGCGCCTCCTTGTCCTTCTTCTGCAGGTCGATGAATATCCCCAGACTGCGCTTGGTGTAGTCCAGCGCGGATTTGTAGGCCCTGGAATTAGAGGTGGGCGGTCAGAACAGGCCTCCCGGGCCAGCCGCCCATGTGGATTGGACGGGGCTCTCCCCGGGGCCGTCTGGTGACCATGGACCTGAAATGTCAGGAGCAGGAAAAGAGCCTGCCCTTCCCAGGCTGTTGGGAGATCCGGGATGAACGTACAGCAACTCGTCCAGCAAAGATGAAGGAGGCCCTTGGGACGGAAGCAGGCACCACAAGGCAGGAGGAGCGTACTGTTCGTCTGCCTCGCTTCCCCAAACACAGGCCCGTGTCACTTCCAGATGCAGCAGGGATTGTGGCCACTGGGCAGAAATTTAGAGATCGTCCAGGCTACTGGCTATCACACCAAGGGAAGATCGGAACCACCCAGGGGGGCTGTTCAGACACAGATCGCCGGGCTCTGCTCCCAGAGCTGCTGACTCAGGAAGTCTGCAGTGGGGCCTGGGAATGTGCATTTCCAGCCAGCGCCCCGGCAAGGTGGAGGCTGCTGATCCGGGGTCCCCGCTTTGTGGAGCATCGACCTAGGTCGCTGGCCCATTGGCCCTGCTGTGAAACTGAGGCCCGAGGATGAGAGGCGGAGGCCAGGACGGGCACACCTGAGTCCCGGGGAACCTGGCTCCTTCCCCGCCCTCGGGGAGCCCCCACGCTGCCGGGGGTGTTGGGAGACTCTGCAGGCTGTATGGTCCAGCCATGTGTCACCCACCCCCGGTCAGGATGCTCTGGGTGGGCTTCTTCATATGTGGTTCTGAAATCCTGTCCCAGGGAAGCAGGTGGGACAGTCGGCTGTCTCCAGTGGATGAGAATCCTCTGGGCACACGTGGCTGCTGTCCTCACATCTGAGGGGACAGACGAGGACCAGACTACCTCGCCCAGAGCTGGGCCAGCGAGAAAAGACTCAGGGCAGAGCGGGGTCAGCTTCCAGAAGCCACCACGGCAGGAAGAAAGGTCCAGAAACACATGCTCTGCCTCCCTTGGGGATGAGACCAGTCCTGCTGGCCCAGAGCCCGTCTGACCCTAAGGGATGAAATGAACCTTGAGGAGGGGCTGTCCTAGGATGGTGGTCCAGCATCCTCACCACCCTTCCCGCCCCTAGGGCCAGCCCTCACCTCTCGGTGCCCAGGGACAGGTAGAGCTGGCTGATGGCCTCCAGGAGCTGCCCCTCCAGCACCTTGTCGGCCACCCTGCGGGCCAGCGAAAGCTGGAACTCGTGGTAGACGACACATTGGGCCTCACTGGGCATGACTGTGCTGTAGAAGTGGCACAGCCGCTGGACGGCGTGCAGCTGGCCTGGGTGGGAGACAAAAGGAAAAGGCCCCCATCATGCATCACAGCAACGTTTGCAGGGTCAAAGTCCCCTGCTGGGTGCCCGCCTCTGTGCGCTGGGGTCATTGCACATGCAGACAGGCTGAGTGTCCTGCTCAAGGTCACACAGCCGGCGAGCATCTCGAGACAGGGCCAGGCCAGGCACGTCACAGGGGCTTGAGGGACAGCACCGACCACTTTTATAACCCTCAGGCTGGGCCGTCCTGGCCGGGCTCTCCCACCGCGCCAGGGTGCTGTTTCTGCTTCACAGAGCTCCTCCCAGCCCAACAGGGGCTGCCCTCACACTGAGCGGACAAGGCAGGGATCACCGGCACTACCTGCGGCAGAGGGGAAAGCTGAGCTCAAAGCTGGGGCACACGGCATGCGGGGGAGAAGGGATTCAAATCCAGCTCCGCTATTCCAGAGCCGATGCTCCTTCGTGAAGCCAGGCTCCAAGCCCTCAGCCGTACTTGCCTCTCCTAAAACCAGAGGGTTGGGAACCATTGGGAGCTTCCACTCTTAAAAATAACCCGGGGATGAACAAGGCAAGAGAAGACTTGGACGACACGGCGAACCAACCAGACCTAACAGACCACAGAACATGCCCCCAGCAACAGCAGAACACGTGTTGTTCACGTGCCCACGAACATTCTCCAGGACGGACCAGAGGCTGGATCACAGAACTATTCTCTGTAAACGTAAAAGGATTGAAATCATGCGAAGCGTGTTCTCCAGGTGCAACGGAATGAAATCAGGAATCAGTAACAGAAGGAAGTTTGGGAAATTCACAGACCTGTACACATGGGCAGCATATTCCTCAATCACCAGTGGGTCAAGGAAGGAAACTAAAAGATATTGGAGATGAGTGAGCATAAAAGCACAACGTACCACAATTAAGGGGATGCGGAGAAAGCAGTGCTTAGAGGAACTTTATTACTGTAAATGCCTGTGTCAAACAAAGAATAAAAAATTCAAATCAAAACCCTAAACTCCCCCCTTAAGAAACTAGAAAAAGAAAAGTTAATTAGACCCAAAGCAAGCAAAAGGAAGGAAAAATAAAAGTTCAAGCGGAAATGATAAAATGATAGAGAATAGAAAGATAGAGAAAATCAATGAAACCCAGGGATGGTTCTTTGAAAAGATTAACAAAATTGACAAATCTTTAGCTGGACTGACCGAGAAAAAAAAGAAAGAAGATGAAAATCACTAAAACCAGGAGTGAAAAAGGGGACATTACTTCCGATCTCACGGAAATAAAGGGCATGCTATGAACAGCTGTATGCCAACAAATTAGGTAACCAGGATGGAACGGACAAATCCTAGGAAGACACAAACTACTGAAAGGGGCTAAAAAAGGAACCAGACCGCGCACGGAGTGACCCTGGGGTGTCACCCTAGCCCTTAGTCTCCTCACTGTTCAATACGGGGGAGGAGCAAACAACATGACCCTCTGGGTCCCCCAGCTCTGCATTCCCAAGTCTGAATCCCCAGGGCCCGGGTTTGGGGAGGTGGGTCAAAGGAGGTTTCTGATAGGCACACGGGGGGGCCGCGTTCCACTGCCGAGCACCACCAGGACCTGCCTGAGGGCACGGGGAGGGTCAGGGACCCAGCTCTTGGTTCCTTCTGGAGGTCCAGAGGGACCCCTTCCAGCCTCAGTGAGTGGTCTACATCCCTCAGTAGCTCCCCAGCGCTCTCAGGAAAAACACCAAACCACAGCCTGGGCTCCTGGGCCCCTGCCTAGCTTCCCACCTGAGGTTCTCACCACGCCCCCACCTGACCCTCTCACCCCAAACTCTGCACCTCCCTGCGCGGCCCAGCTCACTCACCCCAGGGCCTTTGCACTGGCTGCTCCTTCTGCCAGACCCCCCTCCCGTGCTTGGCTAAAGCCTCCTCCTCCCTCAAGTCCCAGATGGATCAGACCTTCCCGACCTACGAGCTGAGGCCTGGGCCCCATGTTTAAGCTGAGCTCCTGCTTTTGTCCTCTTGTGACCCAGGCATCTGTTTCCCACGCTTGGCCGCCAGCCCCCAGTGAGGACCGCTCGGGTCCCTTTGCAGGTAGAGCCCCGCACAGAGCCTGGAGTATTCACACAAGTCGCTGTTGGATGAAGCAACTGTCCTGCACCCTCTGTGCAGGGGAGACGCCAGGGCTGCTGGGAGACGCCAGCACCAGCTAAAGCACCCAGCATTCAAGGCCCAGGTGGCTCCTCCGCACGGCTGCCCCCCCCACCCCGGCCTGGGCTACGTCCAGGGTCACCACCGCCCATTTGCCGGAGATGGCCAGGATTCCCGGCCTCGGGACTTTCAATGTACAAAGCAGGACGGTCCCAGGCAAACCGGGACGAGGCGTTTGCCCTGGTGACATCTAACCCGGCGTGGGACACCCTCAAGGCGTCTGCAAACGTCTGCTGGTTTCCAGCACTCGGCACTGTCAGTGCAAAAACAACCGCTCGCCTCTGAATCGCAAACCCCAGGTGTGTTCTGAACAGAGGTGGAAAGGAAACGTGTTTTCTTTCTTTCCAGGAAGCCAGTGTGGCCCACACTTACTCTCCAAATGGTCCGTCTCCACGGCGATCAGAAAGGCCCACTCGTAGTAGCACTTGCCCTGCCGGGTGAGGGCCCTGCGGGTGCACAGGTGACCCAGCCGCAGGAGCACCTGGGTGAAGTCTGGGCCGCACTCTCCGCTGGGCAGCCGCGAGAAGAGCTTCACGGCCTCCAGGAAGTAGTGCTGGGCCAGCCTGCTGGCGCCGGTCTGCAGGCACAGGGTCCCGAAGTTGGCCAGGACCACCGCCTTGTTCCGCTGGCGACCCAGGCGCCTGGCGACCCGCAGGGCGCGGTAGTAGCCCTCGGCCGCCTGCTGGGTCCTGCCCATCCTCTTCAGGGCGATAGCTGCCATGTTGGCGATCACGCCCTCCTGGTCCAGGGCGGCCACCGCTGCCTCCAGGACGGACTCCAAGATGTCCAGGGCTGCCGGGATCTGCCTGTGAAGCACGTGCAACCAGGCGAGGGCCACCAGGCGGTCCACGACTGTGCGGCCGCCAATCTGGGCGTCCGTCTCCGCGGCCCGCGTCATGAAGGCGATGGCCCTGCCCTGTCGCCCGTGCTGGCTGTGCAGCCGGGCCAGGCTGGCGTAGATGGGGCCGCGCAGCGCCCGCCCCGCGCCCGAGGCCGGGGAGGCCAGGGCCTGCAGGAGGTAGGGGGCGAGCTGGGCGGGGAGGCGGGGGAGCTGGGGGCTGCCCCGCAGGACCAGGGCCGCGCTCCGGAGCGCGCTGTCCAGCGAGCCCCGCGCCCGCCGTGAGGCCACCTTGACGCAGCTCAGTGCCAGGTGCGGGAGGCACTTGCGGCTGTAGACGTCCGCCAGCAGCAGGTAGCAGTCGACGGGCCACGAGGCGCCCGGAGCCCCCGAGGCCCCGTACAGCTGCAGCAGCCTCTCCAGGAAGGGCAGGGCCTCCTCGGGCCGCTTGCCGCGGGCGTGGTGCTCGGCCAGCAGGAAGCAGGCCCGGGCCTCGGCCTGCGGGCTGCGGGCACCGATAGCCCTCCGCAGGCCCAGCTGCAGGAGCCCCGACTCGGCCTCGGAGCCGCCGACGTGGCCGGGCGTCCCCAGGAGCAGGGCCAAGGCCTTGGGCACCACCTGCACGCACTTCTCCCTGTTCTTCTGCCGCAGGTGGACGGCGGCCAGGCTTGTGTACACGGCCGCCACCAGGACGAGGTCCCCGAAGCGGCCCCCCAGCGCCCCCAGGGCTTCCTCGAAGTACACGCGGGCCTGGGACAGCTTCAGCCGCCGGACGCACAGCCGCCCCAGCAGGAAGCAGAGCCTGGCCAGGGCCATGGGCAGCCCGGCCTTCTTGGCCACCCCCCGGGCCTCAGCCAGAAGCCGGGCCAGCTCCTCATCGTCGGTGAAGCCACCAAACACGCCGCTCAGCCCGGGCGGGGAGAGGTCGTACAGGCCCTGGAAGCTGGCCTCAAAGCCGGGCTTGTCCAGGAACTGCAGCAGGCAGCCCAGGGCCTCCGGGTCAGCCCGGGCATCCCCGGCGTCCAGGCGGAAGGAGGGTTCCTTGGTGTCCGGCGAGCTCGTGCCACCGGATGCCCCGTGGACGCCCGGGGACGTTGGCTCCTTGGGGCAGCCCTGGCAGGACTTGCATCGTTCTAGGACATTCTTCACCTTCTGCAGGGTCTCACGTGGCTCTGGGTGCAGGCAAGGCGGGGGCATCTCTGCAAGTGACCAGAATGCCCACGTGGGTTAGAGTGTGACCTGAGTCCAGGCTGGGCCAGGGCGCGTCCCTCCCCGAGCCGCAGGGTCCCTGTCACCTCTCCCACGGGGCTGCCCTGAGCGTCTGAGATTTCTGCGGATTGTGGAGCGCAGAGCTGGGCGCAGTGCGGGGCTGCAGTAGGAGCGACTGCTGGGGGGACACAGAGCAGGTTGGCCAAGCTTTTATCGAGGAATGCTCCTTGCCTTTGCCCTTCCCTCTCAGCCAGCTGAGGAGCCCCCGTGAAACCAATCAGTAGCCAATCAGCCCTGCTGGCCAGCGTGAGCTCAAAAGCACCCACAGAACCGACAGTGGCCCGTGTGTCCATCTGCCCAGCTCTAGCGTGGGGGTCATTATGACGGGAAACACCGGGAATGGCTCCCAGAGCCCGGGGCTCCCCCTTCATCTTGGCTGGTTTGGGAATCTGAGGTTCACGGTCACTAAAGGGTTAAAGAGGAGGGCCAGAGAGCCTGGGGACAAGGGGGTGCCCACAGCTGCCCGCCAAGGGACTGTTGGCCTTGCATGGACTCAGCGCCCGGAGGCATGTCCAGCCTCGAGGAGCAAACACGCTACATTTCCTGTTGCAAAAACATGGGCTTTGAAGGGGAATTTGTTTGGAAGGAAAGAACCAGGATCTAAAGACTCTTCTGTTTCGAGTTCACTTGTAGAAAAATATGTTCAGAACTGTCTATTAGTCTGTAAAGCCTAAGAATTTAAAACATTAAGTACGGTTGAGCGGCAAACGTGCGACGTGACCGTGTACTCGATTAGCTAAGAAACGCCTGCATCCAGTGGCGGCAAGTGGGCTCCCCAGGGCATCTTCCCACGTTATCCCAGTTATCCTGTCCCTGACAGCTGAGATCCTCCCCGAAGAGAAGCCTGCAGAGGGTCTGGGGAGGAGGGAGGGCCCTGGCATCGCCCTGGGGCCCCGGGGGCTGGCTTCCGGGCCTCTTCAACCACATCCCACAGTGGTCCGTCCGTGTTTGTGCTTAGATGGTGCCCATCCCCAGGGAATCTCAGAGGGTCCTTGGCACCTGTGTCCCCAGGCTCTCCCTGCCTCCGACCCCCTACTGTGGGGAGGGGGAGTGTGGAGGGAGAAGGAAGGGGTCTCCCCGAACCAGCCCCCCACAGGAAAGAGCAGATCCTCAAGGGACTTTTCCAACGTAAGCCTCCTAATTCAGCAAGCTCCACACCCCCTTCACCCCTCCAAGCAGGGCGCGGGGCAAACTTCAGCTGCTCTAGGTTACCTGAAAGGAGCCCAGAACGAGGCATGAGCTCAGACAATGGCGGGGACGGTCCGTCTTTGCTGGGGACAGTGCAGGGGGACCCGGCATGGGCTTGGCCATGGAGAGGTCACCCTCCCTACACAGGCACAGTGCAGGGGGGCTGGCACGTTTGTTGGGGACCTGCTGCGGCAGTGGAGGGGAGCCTCGCCTCCACCTCACCCGACGTCCCCTCTCCAGCCCTCCCCCACGGAGGAGTAAGGTCCATGGCCAGCACCCATCCAAGCCCAGCTCTGCCCCCTCTGTCTGGCATCACCCCACGGCCCAGCCCCGTGACCGGAGGGACCCCAGGCCGTGTGGGAAGAACGTACCATGTTCTTCCTGTTGCTGCATCTCAGCTTCTTCTGTGTCTGAAAAGGGAGAGAAGGAAAGCATCACCGTCCGGCCAGCACCCTGTGTGTCCAGGGCCAAGTCGGGGCGGGGCGGGGGGGCGCACCAGAATCGTAACGTCCCTGACACCAGCTCCCTGAGGGGAAACGGACTGGGCCGGGGGTGGGGTGGGGCACTGGCCGAGGAGCCATATCTTCCAGGACGTGTCCCCGCCCTAGGCCTCCCCTGCAGGACTCCATCCTCCCTGAGAGGCCGCTGACTTCTGTAGCTCCCGCTCTGGGAACAGGGGACGCGCTCCCCACTGATCCCGTCAGCCCTCCCAGGGGCAGGGCGGCAGATCTGGGATTGAACCCCCTCCTCTCCCACTGCCAGCGCTCCCCTGCGCCTCAGTTCCCACCTCCTGAAAATGGGCTGGCACTAATTGCCCACGGCGTTGCCATAGAAACCAAAGGAGAAAAAGAGCTGTAAAGACACATGGGAAGTGTGACGTGCTGCCAACTACAGAGCACCCGGCAGAGAGGATCCCACAACACCCCGCAAACGAGGGTCCCAGTGCGGCCTCCGCAGAAAGAGAAGAAATCGTGTGCCAGGCTGGCTTAAGCCTGATATGCCAAGGTCAAATTTAAGTTTGCCTGTTTAGGAAGAAAAACCGACTTGTGGGATCTCGAAAGTTTAAATCTAATATTGGCAGGAAAAGCCTTATAACACGTGTCAGCAAGCAGGCAGAAAAGATGTGTGTGTGCATGTGCACATATGTGTGGGTGTGTGCACATAGGTACACGTATGTGTACATATGTGTGTGTGTTCACATGAGTGTGTGCATATGTATATGTACATGGTGGATATGTGGGTGTACGTGTATGGCCCTGAGTGTGTCTGTATGTATTCATCTGAGTGTGTGTGCATGTGTGTACATATATCTGTGTGGGTGTGTACACACGCGAGCATTTATCTCTATCCAGAGGGGTGAAGGGATGAGCTGTAACGTTACGTCCCCATGACCCGTGGGAGCTGGGGGTAAGATTGCTCCAGCACCGTCCCCTCTGCTGCATTTCCTTTCGCTGTGGCTGCTGACACGCTTCCTTCATCTACGATTTGCACTGCAGCCCGGGGCCCGCACGCTGGCCCTGCCCCAGTGCAGCAGGGGGCCTTAGGCGGGCACCTGGAGTTAGCGGAGGAAAGGCTTCGCTGAGGCCCATCCTCGGGCAGCTGGGAGGCTCGGGCCCGCTTTCCTGCATCTCCCGGCCCCTCACCCTGGCTCCTCTGTGTCTGGCCCGGCATGTCCCCACCTACCAGGAAGGCAGTGACAGCAACTGGCTGGTCACCTTTAAGAGCCCAGGGGCTGGCATTCATTACTGTGGCGTGACGGAGGAAGCAGAACATTCCCGAAGGGAAGCGGGGTGGGTGCCGCTGTGAACAGTGGGTTAAGCAGGTCCATCCAAAGCTCTGCTGCATGGACAGTCCAAACTCAGAGCCCGGTGCCGACCGAATAGGGCTGATGGGGTCTCAGCCACGGGACAGCTCTGCACCCTTCGTGGTCTTTCCAGAAGTCTGCCCCGAGAAAACTGTCCTAAATCATGGGCTGTAGGGTGTAACCAGCGGCGGGTCCTGAGAGGGGCCCGCAGTCATCCCGAGGGGGGTGGGAAGAGCGCCCCCCAACACCCCACACACCTACCCAAGCTGTATACAGTGCAGACGTCCGTGCTGGACGTCCTCCTGAGTAGCTGCCTGGCATCCTCCTCAGAAAAGCGTCCTTCGCTGCTGAAGAAAGACCTTTCCTCTTCATTGAGAAAAATCACATTTTCCAAGCTGGAAAAAATAAAGTGCATTTAGATCACACGTTGCCAAGATTTCACACAAAGACCCTTTTCCACTCCCTCACTTGACAGATGGTCCCTGCATACCTATCCTGTGCCCAGCGGTGAAGACACCAAGATAAAAACAAAATAGATCCTGCCCTTAAGGTTGCTTTGTCTGGCCAGAGGCAGACGCCCAGGAGTGGGAAATGCCATGACAGATGCAGCTGGTCACAGCATCCTGGGAAGGTGAGCTCCTGCGCAGCCTTCAAAGCCCCACCTTAAATGCCCCTTCCCCTGCAAGGCCGGCCGTGACAGCTGCAGGCAGACTCAATTCCTCCACACTGTAAGCTCCACACAGAGCCTCACACAACACGAGCTCAGGGCACGTGTGTGCTCCGAAAACTCAGGGAGAGGAAAACAGGAAGGAGACAGGGAGGGGGAGGCAACTTCTGCTTACAGGGCTAAATTACCAGCAAAATATGAAACTTTCACACGTACTTTGGAACTTAGAGGGAGCTCTTTTGAGAAGTTAAAGAAAACCTTAGGGTAGATTGCAGGACATTCGATAAAATAGGCCTGTATTCCTCAAAAGTGTCGGTGTCCTAAAGGACAAAGAGAACAGGGAACTGTCTCAGATCAAGGAAATGAGACTAAAGAGACAGACAGGTGCTCACATGGGGTCTGGAATTTTCTTTGGCTATAAAGGGAATTACCGGAAAATTTGGTAAAATCTAAGGTCTGCAGATAACAGGATTCTATCAACGTTAACTTCCTGATTTTGACAGTTGTGCTGTGGTCATGCAAATGATGTCCTGATTTCTGGAAACACATATCGCATTATTTAGGGGTAAAGGGACATTGTGTTTGCAACTGACTCCCAAAGAATTTAGAAAAAAAAAAAAGAGGAGAAAGTAAACGTCATAACATGTCCACATCTGGGCAACCTGGGTGAGGACATCCAGGAATTTTATGCCCTTTTTGTATCTTTTCCCTAAGTCTGAAATTATGCCAAAATAAAGTTAAAAAAAATGAATAGCTACCAGAATGCTCATTAAAGAGAAGATTAAAGACTCAGATCTGGAATAGGAAAGATGTTCCGTAAACATCTGTTGAGTGAATGAGGGAAGCTGTTAGGGCTTCTCCAGCTGTAACAGGACCAATGGCACTGGGCCCTGTCACCCTTCTGGGTTAAGGGAGGGCAAAACAGACTGGCTCATTCCCACAGCAATGGCAGCTCAGCCCGTCAGCAAGCTCAGGACAGGTTTAAGTCTCATGGAGCCCAGACATCTGTTGAGCCGTTGTGGTCTCCCCAGAGATGATGACCAAGGGTGCCCAAGGAGTGTTCCACAGAACAACAGCTGATAGTGTTGTCTGGGGCTTCCCTGGTGGCGCAGTGGTTGAGAGTCCGCCTGCCGATGCAGGGGACACGGGTTCGTGCCCTGGTCCGGGAAGATCCCACAGGCCGCGGAGCCTGCGCGTCCAGAGCCTGTGCTCCGCAACGGGAGAGGCCACAACAGTGAGAGGCCCGCGTACCGCAAAAAAAAAAAAAAAAAAAAAGTAGTGTTGTCTGGAGGTCAAGTGTGAAGAACGCATTTCAACAGGAGAAAGAAAAGTTTCAGACTCTGGGTGCCTTCCTTGTGCTGGGAATCCCCGTGGACCACCAGCCAGGGCGTGTGGGAAGCACACCGTCACTGATGAAGTTTGAGATGGAGCCCTGGGGGGAACACACTTTGGGAAACTTGGGTCTAGCTGCTGCTCTGGGCATCCGAGCCCAGCCCAGCTTCAAACAGTTTCTGATGAACAGGAGGCCATGGAGCAAACAGACACTTGAATTAGGAAACAGAGTGACTGGTGGGACATGTCATGAAGCCAGAGTGGCCTCTGAGACTTGGTTTGGGAGGCGTTGGTCTGTCCGAGGTGTCAGACAAGAATGAGACGGCGTGTACGTCAGGGCTAGCGGGGCGCCGAGGACGAGCATCTCACGATGCGTCCGAGGGGCAGACGCTGACCCAGTGAAGGGTCCTTTCTCTACACTGACTCCTGGGCCGAGGTCTTAACAACAAAAGGTCAAGAGCACAGCTGTGCCGGCTGACCACTCTCTCAAGACCCCCCTGCTGCTGCCCAGGGCCAGGCGGTGGGGACTTGGAGGTGACCAGACAGTCCTGGCTCAGAATCCCCTGGATGGGGGTGGGGAGGTCACACGGGGAGTAGAGCACAGCCAGGAAGGGTGCGCCCAGGGATGAGCCATTGGAGGTGAGACTGGGGGCCGTTGAGAGCCCCCAGGAAAACAGGATGGTCGGGGTGGAGGGGGCATCTCACGTAGAGGGAGGCGCATAACCCAGAATCGTTCCAGAAGGGGTGAGCCAACCCGCACGCTGGCCTCAGGGTTACGCAATGGTGAGTGGTGGCCTTGAAACTGGGGGTGACCAGGGCCTGGGTTGCAAGAGGCCTTGAAAGACAGGCCCAAAGCTTCGAAGGGCTTTATGAAGGGGAATGGCAGGTGTACTGGCTTGAATAACGTCCCCCCCAAACCCACGTTCCCCTGGACCCTCAGAAGGCAACTTTATTTGGAAATAATAGGGTCTTTTCAAGCGTGACCCAGCCAAGGCTCCTGGCATGAGGAGATGGTCCTGGTTATCCGGATGGTCCGTAACTCCAAGGACTGGTGCCCTTACAAGAGACAGACGGGAGGACACACAGGGAGGAAGCCCCGCGGACAGAGGCAGGGGTCGGGGTGACGCGGCCACAGGGACCGCCTGAAGCCGCAGGAGCTGGAAGAGGCGGGAAGTCCCCTCCCGTGGAGCCCCCAGAGGGAGCTCGGCCCTGGCCACGCCGTGATTTGGACGTCCGGCCTCCAGTCTGTTGTTTTAAGCCCCCAGTCTGTGGTGCTGTCCCCGCAGCCCCAGGACACCCGTGCACGTGGACACCTTTGTATTTCAGGGACCAACCCTGGCAGCACTTGGAGGAAGGGCAGGAGGGGTCCAGACAGGAAGCTGAAGCCATGCCCTGGGGACAGCGGGGTGGCCCTGGGCTAGGCCCAGCCCTGGGGACGGAGGTGGGAGTGACGACCAGGAAGAGGGGCTGGGGAGGGGCAGGAGGTGCCATCCAGGACACTGCAGGTCTGTCACCTGGGAAGCAGGTGGACGGGGTAGGCTTCCCACGGGGGCAGGGGTGGAGTCAGAAGGGGGCGAGGCCTCAGCCACTCACTCAGACGCTTGGCCCTGCGCTCTGATGAGGCTCGTCTGCACAAAGGCGACCTGGCCAGAGGCCGCGTGCCGGCCCAGGCACCAGGGCAGGCCGGGCACCTGGGCGCCCAGGATCTCGATATGGTCACCGCTTCGGAAGGTCATCTCTTCGGGCCCTGAGCCCTGGCAGTCCGCCACGGCCGAGGCCAGGCCCACAGCTGCAGGAAGGAGGCCACACAGTCAGTGCTGGGGGGGATAGGGACGGGCGGCCCTCGGCCACAGGGGTGGTGTCCCGGCCAGGGAACATGCCGTCCTGCTGAGGAGCTGATTCAGTACCTGGCCAGGGTGCGGGGCTGCCGCACACGAGGGGCTGGACATCCACGCGGTACCTGAAGCGGGGGCCTCTTTATCCCCACGCTGAGGATAAGAAACTGAGGCCTGGGGCTGTCGGCCTCCAAGGCCAGGGCCCACCCAGGGCAAATCCAGCTGTAAGTGTCCTCCCATGGGGCCTTATGTCCACTTAACAGGTCCACAGGCCACCCAGACACCAAGCAGCCTGGGGCAGAGCCAGTGCACTGGACCAGGGACCCAGGCCGTCTTTTCTAAACAAGACCCCTGCCTCTCGCTCCTCCATTTGCACATGTGGCGAATTCAGCCGGGGCCCTGCCCACCCCACCTCCACCGTCTGAGGGCCCTCCGAGGTGTCTGACCCAGTGCCAGAAAGAGAGCAGAAGTTGCAGAAGTGCTGGTCAAATAGGGTGTGGAAGTTACTCTCTAGAGGCGGGGTGCCCAGGGACCCCGGCCTGGCCTCCCCGCGTGCTGTGTGAGTTTGGACCAGCCAGTGGACCTCTCTGAGCCTCTGTTATTGCCTCAGGAACTGGAGGGGATTCTAGCTACCTCTTCTGCCTTGGGGAGGATTCAGGGTGGGCACAGAAGCTTCGGGAATTCTGGCGCCTGCCCTTCCTCACCCACCTCTTCCCCAGGGGAGGAGGGCCAGTGGAAATACTTACCCATCGGCTGGATGTCCGGCGTCACAGGTCCACCCATGGAGTCGTTGATGGGGTCCCAGGGGACCCTAAGAGCCCACCTGGAGTGGGATGAGAGAGGATTTTAGGTTTAGGGCAGATTGAAACTGTGTGTAGGCTGGACAGGTCAACGGCCCCCAGGGACCCGAGCGAAATCCACCACCTGCCCCCACTGCACGTGTGCGCGCACACACACACATACGCCCAGGTGTGCGGCCTTCAGCTCCAGCCATGCCCCACGGCCCCCAGCCCAGGTGTCTCCTGCCGTCCCTCACGCTGGCATCCTCGGGGACCTCCCTCCATCACCCCGGGAGAGAAACTCAGCCACAGACTGTCATTTCATAGACACTGAACATGAGGAGATGCAGTTTCTCTCTTTGCTTTGGCCGCCAGGAAGCTCAAGCCAAGTTTACGCCCCACGTTCAGCACACGAGCATGAACTTGCGTGTTACCTGTCCCTGCCTTCCCCAGGCCGTCCCTGCCTTGGTTCTTATCTGCACACATACCTGCGTGCTCCCTTGCTATGAGCACAGGCTATGTAGCTCCCGCAAAAGCTTTCCAAAACAAGCTAGAACCGGAAGCCAGAGCCCCATGTTGTACACTCCCAGGCCATCCCATCCCAGGACAGCGCTGCCGGGAGGTGTCGCTGTCCTGTTGTGCAGGTGGCAGCCCCGAGGCCCAGAGAGCCGAAGCCACACACTGAAAATAGCAGAAGGGGTCGTGGCCAGGCCTGCCTCGGGCTCACACCGGTCCCCGTCTACCCGCCTTGGCCTACGGTTGGACCCGGGCCTGGGGGAGTCTCCGGGAGGCCGGACAACATGCTGGACCCACAGGAAGCAGAGAAACAAAGGTCGGTACCTACTGATGGAATGGAATCAAGGGCTCCGCGGCTGTCCGCTCCTCTGAGGATGTGTTGTGGCTGGGGGCCAAAGAGTCCACTGGCAGGGCCGCCTCTGCCCGGGGAAACCCCGAAGCCTGCCCGAGGGGCTGGAGGCCGTTCATCACTTTCACATGGTGGTCAGGACACAGCACAAAGAAAGGCCCTTCAAAGCGGCAGAGGGTGGTCATTCAGGCAGCTGGACACAGGTGCAGCTGTAGTTTGCAGGCGGGACTACCTGTTCTCCACCAGGGATACCTGCAGGGGTTCCCCCACCCCAGTTTCTGCATTCACAGAAAGACAGTGGAGGCCCCAGGGGCCCAGACCTGGAGGCTGGACCTGGGCTGGAGTCCCCACTCCGCCGGGACTTGCCCGGGAGCCTGGCTCAGCCTCAGGCTCTCTGGGCCTCAGTTTCCCTGTCTGGGCTCTGAGGGGCTCGACATGTGATCCCAAGGGCCCTTCCTGCTTGGACCGCAGCGGCCTCCTCTTGTCCGCTCTGTGGCTGGGGAAGGGCAGGCAGCCAATGGCCAGTTTGCTGCGGCCTCGGGGCCCAACTGTGAGGCCACCAAGGTACTGGGAGCAATAGCTCGGTCAGGAACTCGGGCTTGGGGGGCGCTGGCCAAACTCCTTTTCTGTTATTTCTTGGGGGGCTTTTCCTTGCCCCAAGCGCCCTCAGTCTCCGGCACCTCCAGAGCCCTTAGGCTGCCCGTGGCCCCGGGGCATCCCCAGCCCGGCGAGGAGCTGCCCAAGGTCACCATCGCCTGCACAGCACTCACCTTCCTGGAAAAGGAGGCTCTCGTGCGTCAGCTTCAAGGCCTCGTCATCCACGTGGACTTGGATGGCCGTCTCCTGGTCCTCATCAGGCTCGAGCAGCCAGAAGGTCTGGTCCACAAGCAGGTTTTCCAGGCAGTGATGAGTGAAGCCTGGAGCAGACAGCCCTGGTTACCAGTGGGCTCCAGGCCGGCGGCAGGGAAGCCCTGATGGCTGGGTGTTGGCCGAGCCCTGCGCAGACCAAGCCCAGGGAGATGGACCACCCAGTCCTTGGGGACTCGTGGTACCGTCCACTACCTGGGCAGGCCACAGGTCAGACCATCTGGGCTGCGAGAGGAACAGCCGTGATGGTGGACAGCTCATCTGCCTCCCTGTGCCCTGGGAAGTTCGGGCAGGGTCTAGTTACTTCTTCTAGGACCCTCGGTCTCCTCTTCTATGAGATGGGACGGGAGATCAAGGAGATCACGTGCGCTGCAGGCGTGGGCACAGCCCTGCTCCAGGGGCACAAGAAACGGTCACTGTGAGTCTAATTCCTCACTTCCTCAGCCCTCAGGTTCCTGAGGGAGTGCGGGAGTGGGGCAGCAAGTTTCCCCAGGAGAGGCACTTAGACAGCCAAAGTCTCCCTTAGAACAGGGAATGTTTCAGAAAGAAAGCACTTGGGTTGAGGTTGAAACAGGGTTTCCTGGTCTGTGATCGGCCAGTGAGAGCTCAGCTGCCCTGGGGGCGAGTCGCCCTCAGACCCATGTGCATCTGCGACTCCGCCCATCACAACCTCACTGAGAACAGATGACGTCCGCAGAGGCCATCATGAACTAACTTAGTTTAAAGTCCCGACTGGTAACATAAAATGCTTGGTGTGTGACACGCGTCCCCATGATGGGGTCTGCGAGGGTCACCGCCTTACCGAGAGCGTGGTAGGTGGAAAACTTCCAGATTTCTTCAAAAGTCTTAAACGTCACCACAATCCGATCCTGGTCACTGTGGATGGACAGCAGCCTGGCCGATAGCTCCTTACGGGGAAGAAACAGAAATGAGAAACAGTCCCAGTGGCTTTGGGGCATCTGCCCATCAGGAGGACGGAGCCACGCAGTAGAAACGTTTTGCAGAAGTGACCCTGGTGGGACTTCCCTGGTGGGGGCCGGTGGGTAAGACTCCACGTTCCCAATGCAGGGGGCACGGGTTCGATCCCTGGTCAGGGAACTAGATCCCACATGCCGCAGCTAAGAGTGCATGCTGCAATGAAGATCTCGCTCGCCGCAACTAAGACCCGGCACAGATTAATTAGTTAATTTTTTTTTAAGTGACCCTGATATGGACAGCAAGCACAGAGCTGATCCCTTTACAACCAAGCTGCTCCTCTCCCGCTTCTCAAGCCAGCTGTGGCTCCCCAGGGCTGTACCAAGCCCCACTCCTTCCCTGAGCTCACAGCCTCCATGCCCTGGACCTGCACCCTCTGTGGCAGGTCCAGCATCCTCTCTCCTGACACCCATCCCATGAACACTCCTGGTGGTGCTGGGGCATTAGAAGTGACACCAGCTGACTCTGACCAAGGGGGAGAGGGTACTATTATCATCTCCATCTGGATTAAGAAATAAGGTCCCGGTTCCTTTCCGAGGTCTGACCCTGGGACAGCCGGGATTCAGCCCAGAGCCAGCGCGCACCCAGGACAGGCATCACAGGGGCAGCCCCCCTGCAGAGCACCGTGCTGGGTGCACCGTGCCTGCTGCTCGCAGGTCCTCACGGCAGCTCCGTGGTGTGATAAAGCTAAGCGTCTCCCATATGTGGCTGAGGAAGCTGCGTTCACAGAGGCTGAGGGACCTCGGCCAAGGTCAGGCCAGGCTGAGCGCAAGGCCAGGTTGTGGCCTCTCAGCTCTAAGCCATGGGGAGGTCGCCCAGCTCAGCCTCCTTCCCCCCAACCACCTGACAGACCGTCCATCACCAACAAACCAAGCAGAGAATTAAATCAACTCACAGCCGTCCTTTTTGCTCCCTATGAAGAGACTCAAACTCCTAGCAGGGTGGGGCGTCCATGGAGAAAGGGACTGGGGCATTCAGGAAGTGGTGGCCCACGTGTGCCTGGGGCTGTGTGACCCTCGTTCCCGGAGCCAGACAGCCAGGAGAGCAGACGGGGGAAAAGTCACCCCGGTGGTGGTACCATCAGGTAAGGTCTGGACACCATGGACAGACCTCCTCCTACGTCCACTGCCCTCTCCTCCTCGACCCCATTCACAAGCGTGGATCCCCTGCACCTCTGCCCGCCCAGGCCCCCCGAGGAGCCAGACTCACCCCGAGAGCACGGGCCACCTCCCAGCTGTCATTCTCCAGAAGACGGAGCCGGCCCCGCAGGACCTGCTGCAGGCTGGGGTCGGGCAATCCGCTTTTCCTCTGCACAGCCAGCAGCTGCAAAGTCAGGTCTGGAAGGGGAAGATGAAGGTGGGCAGTTTCCCTGGCCCAGGCCAGTTCTGTGGGGTGCTCTCCCCTCCCTGAGGGCCCTCGCCCACAATCACGGGGACCCGGATTCACAGCCCACGTGCACTGCCTGTGAGAACTCTGCACAAGTGCTTTTCTCCCCTGAGGCCCAGTTTCTTTGGTGGTAAATGAGTTACGTGCTACCCACATTTTACAGAGATGGGAGGAAGTGGACTGTGTCACAGCCCCAGGACAGGCCAGCACAGGGCAGGCATTCAGCAAATGGTCCCAAGTCACCGTGACCTCCAGCCCCGACTGCTTCCACGCCTGGGCTCCAATGGGACCTCCAAGCTCCAGCAGACACCCCACGGGCATCCTAGAACTCTTCATCGCCCCCCGCACCCAAAACTGGCTTGTTCTCCTTTCTTTACCATCTCCAGAAGGACCGCCTCCCCCACCCTGCTCAGACCAACGACACCTCCTTCCCTCACACACCACTGGCTGGTCCACAAGCAAAGCCCACTGACCCACCTGCAAGACCAGGCCGAATGCACCATGCTCACCCCTCACCGTGGCCCCGCCCCACAGGTCCTCCTGAGCAGTGTCTGAGCCCTGGCCCTCCCTCCAGATGGTTCTCTGGTCCACAGAGGGCCAGAGGGTCCCCTCCCAGCCAGCTCTGGCTTATGGAACGCCTTGGCTCTCAGCCCTCCGGGCATTGCTGTTCCCCAGAAATTTCTGCAGCAATGGACATGTTTGCTCTCTGCACTGTCCTGCACAGAGGCCACCAGCCACATAGGGCCCTGAGCTCTTGAAATGTGGACAGTGTAATTGAGGAACTGGATTTTTAATTTTATTTAAGTTCAATTTAAACATAAACAGCCACATGTAGCTACTGTATTAGACAGCACAGCCCCGGTGGTTTTGCCTCTCGGGAAGAATAAAATGCGGATCCTTTCCACCTTTCCACGCACAGCCTGGAGCAGCCTGCGCGTCACCCCGCCCCCGCAGAGCCCCACCTCTCCTCCCCCTCCCTTCCAGCCTGTGGCCGCCTCTCTGATGCCCTGAGACATGGAGGCATTCCCCCCCCTCAACCCACCCCAGGGCCTTTGCACTCACCCTGTCCTCCACCTGAAGCACCCTCTCCCAGACCAATTCCTGGCCTGGCTGGTGCCCTATGATTGGATCCCAGCTCAAATGTCCCCTGCCCACCCACACCCTGTCCCCCTGAGAGGCCTCCTGGCCGCAGGGATCCTCAGATCATGGGCTGTTCCAAAACTGGAGAGGGGAGATGAAGGGGAGAGGATGGGAAGGGGGAGGGGAGAAGAGAGAGGGAGAGAGGAAGAGGGCCAGGACGCGGAGAGGGGGAGGGAGATTCCTCACACCCTCTGAATAAGCCTTGCACCTGCCTTGGAATTTTCCAGCTAGGGGACCCTCGAGCAGACATCCCCATCCCCTCCTGGGGGGCAGGGCAGGAGCAAAGGAGCACATCTGGGATCTGGAATCAGGCCCCTCCCCCAGCAGGAAGCCAGCCCAGCATTTCCCAACCGGTTCTAACAATTGACCCCTCCTACTCCCGTAAGAGGGTGGGGTTGAATTGTCAATCTCATAATAATCTCCCTCGTTGCTCAACAGTCCTGGTCATCCCGAGTGACCACAGGCAGCGCTGCCCACCCGAAGGAAAAGCCGGAGGACGGGCGGCTGTCACGGCCAAGGTGGGCGGCCGACAACGCTGGGGTCTCCATGCCCCCCACAGCTGGGGCTCGGGAGTCGGGTCTCCGGCGTTAGGGGCTTCTTGCTGCCCCCCTCCGCCCATCAGCGCCCTGCGGAAGTCCCGCCGTTCCGTCCTCGGAGCCCCTCCCCGGAAGCAGTTCCCCGATGCCTCTCCTGAGGGCCCTTGCCATCCCCCTGCCCCCCCAGGGTGTCCCTCCTGGGGTTTCACTTCCCCTGCATGCAGCCTCCAGGGCGTGCCCCCCTCTTGTGTGGGCAGATGCAAACACAGAGTCGAGGGAAGCCCTTTGCACGTGCAGGCGAACCCTGTCCCCAAGTGAAAAATGCAGAGTCCTGGGTCCTACCCCAGACCCCGGCAGGATCCAGGCATCTGTGTTTAACAAGCTTCTCCTCCACATTCAGGGTGACCTTAAAGCAGGGCGTCCACATTAGGAAGCCTGGGTTAGACGCTCCTGAACCAGAAGCCCACGGGATGGGTGAGGCCGGAGGGAAGGGGGGACGCCCAGGGATCCCACATTCACGTCCCCAGCCCAGACTTAACACTGACGCGTGGCGTAGCGCCCAGGACGTCTACCTGTGGGGTAGGAGCCCATCTGGCCAGGAGAGGGCCCAGCAGCCGGTGGAGAAACGCCAGGGGTGGCAGCGTCTGTAACAGAGCAGGATCCTGTGATTAAGGTGAGAACAGGCAACTCTCAGCTACAGGCGCCAGCCCCCAGGTATTTCCAGAAGAAAGGTATGTCCACACCCTTATAAACCACCGTTCACACCCTTCCTCCAGGGTCATAAAGCCCAACAAGGTCGGAGGCTATGAGTCTCCTGCTGTGCCGTTACTAATTACCCTACCCTAGAGGCTTCTGGAAACAACAGTGTTATCTTGCTGTTCTGGGGTTTGAGACGGGTCTTGCTGGGACAAAACAAGATGCGGGCAGGGCTGGTTCCTTTCTTCTGGAGGCTCCAGGAGAGAATCTGTGTCCTTGCTTCTCCAGCTTCCAGAGGGGCCCGCATTCCTTGGCTCGAGGCCCCTCCTCCATCCCCAAAGCACAGCATCTCCAACCTGTCTGTGACTCTGACCCCAGGATAATCTTCCCGTCTCACGATCCTTAATCCCCTTTGCAAAGTCTCTTTGGCCGCGGAGGTAACGTGTGTGTGTGTGTGTGTGTGTGTGCGCGCACAGGTTCTGGGGACTAGAATGTGGACTTCTTTGGGGGCCTTTACTCTGTTGACCACAGAGGACAGGTGACAGCCCAGGGGGAACTCGGGGTCTGTGGCAGATGGGGCTGCATTCTGATTTTGACTGGCCTGTGAGGCCGGTCCTCTGCTGGTTGTCTCTGCCCCCAGCCCCCAGCCGGGAAGCCAGCTCCCAGTCTGCATCTTGGCCAGGCCCCTCCACGCACACACCCGTCTCTGCCCTGCTCGGTTCTCATCTGTACAATGGGATGAGCAATCAGGGCCTTCAGATCAAAGGGGATCTGATCTGGAAGCACCTGTGGTTCCGAGAGACGGTGCTGAACCTCACTGCAGCCTCTTCACCCCGGGGAAGTACCGCTCAGCCGTGGGCACGGTGCTGCCACGTTGGCCTTGGACCGTGCAAAACGATAGGCTCATTTCTGCTCTCTCCCCACCTACATTATACCAGCCCTAAGCCTGTGTGGTCAGAGCCCATTTCCAGCCCTTCCTTGCTCTGCATCCCCAGAGCGGGGGCTCAGAAATGCCTGTCAAATCCGAACAAGGGCACGGCACCCAGATCTCGGCTTTAAGCTCCGTCCTCCCCCTGAGAAGCCAGGGTTCCTTGAGGAACGGCTGATTCCAGGGCTACGACAGGGAGAGCAGAGATGAGATGTGAGCCTCTTTTTGTCCCAGAAAGTAGGATGTGCTCACAGGATGCTGGAGGTGCATCACAAGACCAAATCGGGGGCAATATGAACAACAAAATAAATAATGACAGCAACTGATAGAGTCCAGAGAATGAAATAAAGACCTCTGAGCCCACCCACGCTAAGATAAATCAATGAATACCTGGGGAGAGGGGACAGCTCTTCTTTTCAGTGGTAGGTCCATTAACAAATGTCAAAATAACGCAGCATTAGAAAGTCACCACTTAGCAACCATCGTAATGTCATGATTTCAGTCAAGAACCTTGCACGGATGATAAAACTAGTCCTTGATTAGGACCAGAGGAACCGGCTAGTCACAAAGTCCCCAAGTATCTTCCCACGGGCTCCTTACTCATGACAAAGGGAAGAAGGGTGACGTTGACAGTGACATGTACGCTGTCAAACATCTCCTTAATCAAGTGATGGACGTGAGCCGTGAACGTCACCAGGGACCAGACAAATGGACATCGAGGTCTCCTGGTCGGCCGCACGGAGAGGAACCGAAGACTTCTGCGGTATTTCTGCCCAGAGTGCCTGCCTGCAATCCTGAAAAAACAGCCACGCTTGAACTGAGCTGTACCCAAACGTTCTACAGAATATACCTGGCCCAGAAGCTTCAAAGTATCAACCTCCAGGTTAGAAAGCTCCACAGGCACGTGGCCACAGCACGCAGAGCCTGACCAGGGTTTTCTTTGGTGGAAAGGACGTTACGGGACAGATGGCAGGATGGGAGTGAGGTCCGTCTGCAGATTAGATAATGGTGTTGTTTAAACCAGGAGAGTTGGAAGTTTGAAAAAATTGCACAATGGTTCTGTACGAGCAGGTCCTGGTTTGAGGAAACACACACGCCAAAGCACTGGGGGATAAAGGGGCATCGTGTCTGCAGTTTACTCTTAAACTGTCCTGAAATATAAATAGATCTGTAAATGCAGAAAGAGAGAAGGCAAGCGTAGTAAAATGTCAACATTTGAGGAACCTGGGTGGGGTACATGGGAATTATTTATATTATCTCTTGTGACTTTTGTTGTCAATTTGCAAAAGAAGCTGAAACGGGAAGGGGCTCTGGGTGGATGGGGTGAGAGTCCACTGGCCACTTGGCTACTCGGGGCCAGAGAGCCCAGGAAGACAGGAGGGGCTCCCAGACCCCGCTGCCTGGGCTCACAGGTCCACCCCAATGCCAGCCAATGCCAGCTGCGCTGTGGGGCAGCTAGGGCAGGAAACACTTGGCAACACGGTCAGAATGCTTCTGGCTTGGCCGCGGCAGCGACGGCAGGAATCCCCGTGCTCCAGGACTCACGGCCCCTCCGGGGCTGGGCTGCCGTGCGGGAGGCTGGTCTGGCCCCCAGGCATCCGGCGGAACCCAGCTCCTCTGTGGCGTGCTGGCGAGCACTGGAAGGCGCCCGGCCCAGTGGGATCCCCAGGCCAGGCAGGTGTCTGACTACAGGAGTCAGCACCCACGAGGCCACCCCGACCTTTCCCATCTCCGCTAATCGCCAAGGTGTAAAAATTCCGCTAATCGCCAAGGTGTAAAAATACCTCTAATCGCCAAGCATGCGCGGCGTCAGGCTCTGGGCCAGGCACCGAGTATGAGGTTTTGTTTCCATCCTCCCAAAGCATCGATCCTTCGTCATTCCAATATGTGCTCAGCTGCTATGTGCTGAGCCCTGGAGGCAACTAAGCAGGTGACCAGGCTGAAGGTGACGATGTGACGAAGGGAAGCCCAGGGAGGGACAGGAGGACAGGCTGTCCTGGGCTCGGGGAGGGGCCTGGGCCCACCTCAGCCTTCCCCCCGCCCTTCCCTCCTCGCCTCCAGGACCCAAGAAGTTAGGGAGAGGGGTCCTGGAGATCTCCTAGGCCACCCCTCGGGTTTCCACGTCACGTGGCCCAGCCCTGCTCCTGGCACAGCCCCTCTCGCGCGCACATGGGCAGGTCGGGTGGGAGACGGCTCTGCCCTGGTCACACCCCTCATCCTCCGCTGTTCAGGAAGTAATCCTGCCCGGGGCCTGGCCCAGGCCCTGCTTCCTTCCCCTCCCTGGGCCTTGGTTTGCGCTCCTGGAAGAATGAGGGACGCCCCGTCCTGAGGAATCCCCGGGACTCACCTCCAAGGACAAAGCAGAACTGTGGGCACCCAAAGCTGCATTTCTAGAGGTTCCAACCCCTGCCCCTCCCGCCGCGCCCTGGAGAAGCACCAGGTGGGCCCCCATCTGTCGTAAATGCTCACTGGGCATCTCCTCCTTCAACACAAGCACTGACAGTGCAGGCGTCCAGCGGCATCCTGGGTGCAATGGACGGCAGGGTGGACGCACACGCCGCACTCACCGCTTCCCAAGGTAGCCTTGGCCTCCTCAGGCCCTGCTCGCCCCCAGACGGCTGACGCACTCGCTCCCGCTCTCTGGACCTCGCGGCCACCGCTGCCTCCCGGGGGCCCCACGGGCCCCCTCCCCGTCAGGCCCTCCATGACGCAGTGGACTCAGCGTCAAGGGCCCGGCATGCCGGGCTGGCCTCTGTGGAGAGAAGAGAGTGCAGGGGTCAGCAGTGGGGACCTCTCTAAGAAGACAGGCGGCCGGCACCAGCACAGATCTGCCGCCAGAGTTGGGGGAAGAGGAGAGAACGCCTCCTCTTTGCCTGGTGGACCCTTGAGCATCCTTCCAGAGCTCTGCTCACCGGCCACTTCCCCTCCAGACAGCACAGTCTGGGCGGGTAGGGGCCATTCTCACTCATCAACAGACCCTGAGGAGGTAGCTCAGATCCTGGCACCTGGAGGCTGCTCAAAACCTTCCCACCGGGGCTCCCCTAGTGGCGCAGTGGTTAAGAAGTCGCCTGCCAATGCAGGGGACACGGGTTCGAACCCTGGTCCGGGAAGACCCCACATGCCGCGGAGCAACTAAGCCCGTGCGCCACAACTACTGAGCCTGCGCTCTAGAGCCCGCGAGCCACAGCTACTGAGCCTGTGCACTGCAACTACTGAAGCCCGTGTGCCACAACTACTGAAGCCCATGTGCCACAACTACTGAAGCCCGTGTGCCACAACTACTGAAGCCTGTGTGCCACAACTACTGAGCCCACATGCCACAACTAGTGTAAGCCTGTGCGCCTAGAGCCCGGGCTCCGCAACAAGAGAAGCCACAGCAACGAGAAGCCCACGCACCGCAACGAGCGCGACACGGAAGCAACAAAGGCTGTGTGGGAACAGGGAACAGAGCAGGTGTCCTCTTGGGACATTCCGGGACCGTGGTTTAGAGATAAGCCCACTGCACCTCCCACCCACCGAGGGCTGGGAGGGACAGACTCCCCCAAAGACAGCGCATCTCCTGAGAGAAGAGTACGCAGCTCCATTGCATACGGGGCTCAGCTGGGCTGTGACTCCAGCCTCGGATTCCCAGGGGGTCCTGCTGCTCCTTACAACTAAGTCCGCGTCCTGGGGGCCTCAGTGGGCCCCGTTTCTCTCACCGGAAGAGGACTTCACCCTGTCCAGTTTTGCAGGAAATGGGCCAGGTCCCATGCTGCCCGTGAGGGGAAGAAGCAGGTGGCAGAGGGAGGGAAAGGAGGAAGTGGCCGGGGAGGAACCAGAGACCGCTCCCCACTCCCGGGGTGCCCTTGGGCCTCCCCCCGAGAGCCGGTCAGTATGCACCACTCTTTCCTGGGGCCAGAGAGGAGTGAGGCCCTTTCCGACCCGACAGACGGTGCTGCCAGGGTCTGGGGTTTGGTCACCAATTAGAGGACACAGCAGGACACAGAGCCCCTTCCAGGCACAGGTGACAGGGAGGGCGGGTGTGCAGCCTGGGCTGGGGGCTGAGGCACAGAGGCAGAGCCCCTGCCCCCATCCACAAGGACGGGAGTCAACTACGCCCCCCTCAGTTTCCACCTCGGGGACAGAGGGGACAGGAATGGCCCCGCTCACTCACACAGAGGTGGGCAACAGCAAGGCCGGGAAGCAAGTGCAAGAGAAGGTCCTCTTGTCAGGTCTCTGTTCTCTGATGAAGAGCTGGGAGGGTTCAACCCCAAACCCCGACCAGGCCGGCAAGAATTCCCTCTGCACAGAGCGGGACGCACAGGGAGACAGGAGAGCGCACCTCTGAGCCCCTTTCCTGGGGACAAAACTGCAAACTGGAGAGCAGGTGTGGCCTCCTCCAGACCCACACCCCGTCCTGCAGTGGGTGCTGGGGAACAGGGGGCCCAGCAGAGACCAGAGGACGCTATGAGGAGCATGGGGCTCAGAACCCACTGGGCCTGCACAACCCCGAGAGCCCCTGGCCGGCCTCCCGGCTCCACCTGCTTCCTGCAGCAGAGAATGGGCAGCAGATGCGGGGGCGGATGGCGGCAGCTGTCGCGTCACCTCGGGGCTGGGGGCTGGGGGCTGGGGCAGAGGACACGGGGCACGCAGGGTTGCGGGGGGCACAGCACTGAGCGCCCCGTGAACGCACAGAGGAGCCACCAGAGCGTCTTAAACCCTGAGAAGGGCTGCGTTCTATCCCTTGGAAGTTTCGTTCCTGTATTTGTGCAGAAAGGACAGAGGAGAGAGTGGAGGTGGGACCGGCGAGGGGTGGAGCCTTGGGTTCACTTCCCTGCCTCGAATTTTCACCAGGGTCAGGGAAGCTGGACCTCCGTCAGACCCAGCAAGGAGTATTTTCTTCAGAACTACGGACCCAAGGCTGTCCCAGGGCGGTGGCGAGTCTCCACAGGCCCCCAGAGGGCCTCAGACGCAAGTATTTGTCAACACCTGCATGCGCCAGGTGCCTCAGCCAGGTGCACTGCAGCCGGCGGGGAAAGGACATCACCCCGTTCTACAGATGGAGAAACCGGGCTGGGCTCCGAGGCGGGGGGCAACTCAACCCCCTACACACACACACACACACACACACATATATATACTCTCACATTAACACTCTCTCACACACTCACATCCCCCCCCACACAGACACCCCTGTCCATGCCCACCCTGCTACCCTTCTAGGCAGCCCCTCGCCCCCAGGGAGGAGGGAGGAGGCCAGAGGGTGCTCCCTTGCCAGAGGAAGAAGCAGCGTGGACCGGCAGGTTCCAGGAACGCAGCACTGCTGCAGAATTCTCCAGCAACCTTTGTTAAATGTCCAATGTCATTTCAAGCCCTGGTGCCTTGCACTCCCTGTGCCCTGGTCCCCGGGGGCCATCCCCGCCCTTGTCACGCACGAAGACCTCCTGGCATCTTTCAGGGTGCCGCTCCATCTGCCTGGCCCTCCTCAGCCCCCAGCCAAGCCATCGTCTGTTTCCTTCCTCTCTTTACTCTGAAAACGGCGAGCCCCACACCTGTCATCGAGGGCACCGTGGCCTGGTCACAGGTGGGTGTCGGGACCGGGAAGCACGCAGCTACGCGGCTTGGAGGCCAGGCTGCTATCCCCGCTGTTCTGCTCTTCTGAAGCATCTCAGTAGGGCACTTGGACCCGTTGTCCTGCACAGGTCCTGTTTGTGGGGTCTCTATAACCCCCAGCCGGGGTCCTCGTCCCCCCCTCTCTACAGCCAGGCATCTTGCACAACCCACACCCAAGGCGTCTGACTCTTGTCCCCGCCTCCGCCCAGGAGTCAGGACCAGCCCATCAGCGCCTGTGTCCCTGCCCCACAGGCCTGCCCCCAGCAGCTCAGGGCTGGTTTCCTGAGAAAACAGAAGGCTTCGGGGCTCAGGGGACTTCCCACTCTTGATGAGGGGCCTGCCCATCAGGCAGGGCTGCCGGGGACAGTCGTAAGCGTGGGGTTCCTGGTCACAGCCCGCGTGAGGAAGTGGGCTCTGTCTCCCTGGGAGGGTCCCTCCCTGCTGGGTCCTAAAATAGCCTTGCTCAGCCCAACAGGCTGCCGGCTCCCGACTGCAGGAGGGGCCGCCCAGCCCGCAGCCTGGCGGGTGTCCAGAGCCCCCACGGGCGGCCCTGCGGAGACTCAGGGACTGTCCTTCCCTGTGGCCTCTGGCCCCTTTGCTCTGTTCACTGTTGGGCCACCCGATGCGTCAGCAACAGGCCCCAGGTCCCAGCCAGCACCCAAACCCAGGGGACGGGAGTTTGGCACCAGAACACCGCCCCATGCCTCAGTTTACCCACCAGAGAATGAGAATGAAAACACCACCTACAAGGAGGTCAATGGATTAAAGGCTGGTGCTCCTGGGTTACAGCTGCGTTTAATAAATGCGGGCTGGACAAAGGGAAGAGATGGTTTGGGGAGGTCTGGCCAGAGCTTTCTCTGGACCCGTACTGAGCAAATGCCTCGAGGGCCATGCAGACCTCGTCCACCTCACCAAGAAGCACCTCTTGAGGGTTGTCTGGTCACCCCCTGTACTGGGGTGACCAGTGCACCCCCAAAGTCGTGTCCACCGCTAACCTCAGAAGGTGACCTTATTTGCGGTACGCGGACCTCTCACTGTTGCGGCCTCTCCCATTGCGGAGCACAGGCTCTGTACGCGCGGGCTCAGTGGCCATGGCTCACGGGCCCAGCCGCTCCGCGGCAGGTGGGATCTTCCCGGACCGGGGCACAAACCCGTGTCCCCTGCATCGGCAGGCGGACTCTCAACCACTGCGCCACCAGGGAAGCCCAGGTGACCTTATTTGGAAACGGGGTCTTTGCAGGTGAGGTTAGGATGAGGTCACACAGGACCGAGGTGTCCCTGCATGCCTGGGGTCCTTATAAGAAGAGGAGGGACACAGGCACACCTGGGATGCTGTGTGACGATGGAGCCGGAGGCCAGGGCGATGCGCCCCACAAGCCCAGGGTCGCCTGCAGCGGCCAAGAGCTGAAGGACCCTCCCTCAGAGCCCACCCCCCCGGGAGGGGGGCACCCTCCCCACACCTGGGCTTCAGACTTCCAGCCTCCAGAACTGGCGGAGAATTAACTTCTGTGGTCAGAAGCCCCCAGTTTGTGGCCCTCTGTTACGGCAGCCCCAGGACAGTAGTCGCCCTGGGTGCCCCGCGCCTTGAATTTCTCTGCCGTAAAGTTGGCGTTTTGGGAGGAGGATTAAGTGACCTCAGGCCTCAGACGCCGGCTCAACACCGGATACAGGAAGCCTTGTCATGGTCGGGAGCCGCCGCCCCGCAGCGCTGAGTGTCCCCGCTTAGTCCTCATGACGGCCTGCGGGAGCAAGCGCTGCGCCCATTGCACAGAGGAGCCATGACGGCTCCGTGAGCAGCTGTGCTGACTCCGTCCGGCCGGGGCGGCTCTGGTGGGATCTAAACCCAGGAGGGTCTGAGTCCAGCCCTCCACACCCACTCTGAACCTGAGCGCACCCTCTACGGCTACGCCTCTATCCACAAGCTCAGCCACAGCAGGGCCCCCCGTACCCAGCCCCCCGCCCCGTGGGAGGCTACGCCCCAAGGGACCCGCAACACTAACTCCCGCCAGTGTGGCTTTGCCATCTGTCATCTCTAGGAAACTCCCACAGACAGGGCTTGGGGCTCCCGGCGGAGGGGGCCGGGGGTCACTGCAGGCCGGGGGAGGGTCTCAGTGATGTGCTGGGACCACACACCCAGGGCAGGACCTGGTGCTCTGAAGCCTTGGGTCTGGATTTCCCTAGAACCTTCCGGTTGGGGCCCCTGGTCAAGTCACTCGTCCCATTTGTTGATGGAGAAGAGGCCCAGGGGCGGTGACCTCAGAGTGGCCAGGTCACAGCTACAGCGCCACCCGGGCCGGGACACGTGGTGTCTACCAGAGGTGGCGTCAACCCAGGGTGGAGGCCCACTTGAGGCCCCCTAGACCCGGAACCCTGCTTGCTGGCGATGTTCCTGCGTCCTGGCCAGACCTTCGGGACGCGCTGGCTGGCTGCCTGCGTGAAGTGGGGGACAAGCGAGATCACGGGAGCGACTGTGCTTTGTCAAACCCGACATCATTACTGAGGCCATGGCTGCCGGCCAGCACGGGGTGCTCCCAGAGCTCTGCCCGGGAGTCCGCTAACCAGTGCCCACAGCCTTCGGGCCTTCCCAGACTCCACTCCTTCTCCCTCCCGATCCTAAAAGGTCAGAAAAGTCTCCAAGAAAGTGAAAGGCAAGACGGCTCAGATCCGACCGTGGCAAGACCCAGCTTTGTGGACGACGCCTGCTCGGCCGTCCTCGCCCGCCCGTCAGCGCCCCGTACCTGCGCCCCGCTCTGCAGGACCGCGGCACCAGGCGGCCGCTCCCAGCTCCTCACTGGCTCGCCCTGCAGGCCGTCTCCGCCGCCCGAAGCCCAGCTGACTGCACAGTGGCCGCCACCGGCCCCTCTTCCTGCCCTACTTCCTCCCTGCACCCGTGCCTCCGGAGAGAGGCAGGCCCCACGCTGCTGCACCGCCCCCAAGGGCTGGTTGATCATTAGCTCCGTCCTGGACCAGCTCCAGGCCCTGCCCCGCCTGCCCAGGGCCCGGCACCCAGCCTCAGATGTGGAGGCCACACCGCCTCAGCTGCCAGGATTGGGGAAGTCTGACAGCTGCCCCGCCAACCTCAGCTCTGCTCTCTCTTCCTCTTCCACTTACCGCACACACGTGCACACACACGTGTGCACACACAAGACATACATGCGCACACGTGTGTGCGTGCATGCGCATACGCGCAGCTCCTTCCTCTGCCCCGGTGCTGCCCCGGCCCGTTGGCCCAGTCAATGGGAACGCACACAGGGCACAGTTGGGCGTCTGCTGTCCTTCCCTCTTTGTCTTTCCGCTGGGCTCCAGGCCCGACCTGGGTTTGACAGCAGGGGATTTCAGCCCTGCCTGGGAAGCCAGAACTGGGTCTCCTGGGTCTCAGACAAGAAGCAGGAACTGAACACGGGTCGGCCCCTGGCCCTAGCCTCCCATGTGCTCTCAGGCCCTCACGGAGGCAGGGGTGTGGCTCTGGTTGCTGGCCCCAGCCCAGACCCAGGAATCAAGAACAGAGGGCCACCTTCTCCGTCCTGTGCTTGAGAAAGGCTGGACTTTCACTCATGGCCTGGCTTCATGACCAGGAACGTCTCTGAGTTCAGTGGTAATGTGCCCATTTTACAGACAGGGAAACTGAGGCCTGGGACATGATGTGGCATGCCCAAGGCCGGTGGTAACTAGAAGGTGAGCCCAGAACCAGGTCTGACCGACACCGAAGCCCCCGGGCTTGGCTTCTAACTGCAGCACTGCTGGGGCGATTGCTCTCTGTCACGGGGAGGGGGTTGCCATGTACGCTGGGATTTTAGCAGCATCCCTGGCCTCTACCAGCTGAAGCCGACCCCAGCTGTGACAACCATTCACATCTCTAGACACTTGTCTCCTGGGGGCAATGTCACCCAGAGTGAGAACCACTCAGGGCCGAGATATTTCTGGATGACCCCCTCCCCGCCCCGTCCGTCCTTCCTCAGATCAACTCCCAGCATTAATGCAGTCACCCCAATGTCACAAACTTCCTCCCCTCCCCAGTGGGCCAGAGCCCAGGCGTGAGGGGGCAGCTGGAGGCGTGTGGGCGCGTGGCCAGCTCACACCAGCGAAGCCCCCACTGAGGGCCAGCATGAGGCTCGAGCCCCTCTCGGAGCAGCTCTGGCCGCTGAGGTCCAGGGCAGGCAAGCCACTCCCTCCGGGGGCCCCAGAAAGGCCAGGCCCGGAGCTCGGGCTGCCCACACCCCCAGCCCAGCCGGGCCACACCCCACACGCCACCAACATGCTCGGGGACCACAAGGCAGGAGCCAGAGGTTCTAGGTGGCCATTTTCACAGTCCCCTAAGACCACAGGCCAAGTAATGGGGGAGGATTTCACGCCACCCCCTGGGTCCCAGGGGGTCAGGCAGCCGCTCCCACCAGCAGCTCTCCCTCTCCGCCCCAGGGAGGTGCGGCCTCCCCAAGCCTGGCCTCTGTCTGTGGATTGGGGCCCCCTAGTTCTCCAGCCGCCTCTCCAGAGCCCCACATTGTGCGGAACATGAGCTGCTCGCTTCTGCTCCCTTTGTTTTTCTGGAAACTGTGTTGAAAGAGGCCCCAGATGGGCTCCACAACCATAAAAGGGTCTGGACGCGTTTCCTCTCCTGGCCATTGTGCCCCGCTGCGGCCCGAGCCCCCGTATCCTGTTTGTCTCTGTAGCTGCATTCTTGGCCCAAGGCCGAGGGGGTTTCCAAGAGCCTCCCCCACTGTGCCCAGCATCCTTCAGCTCTGCATACCGTACCCCAACTTCACAGCGTGTACCCCAACTCTACAAGTGCACCCTAATAGCCTTCCAGAGGAAGAATGTGAGCCTTTCCAAATAAGGGGTCCCTCCTGGAAGTTGCACCACAGGGCAGCCCCGTACAGCCCTGTGTGCAAGAGGCTGGTTTCAACCCCAGCCCAGCCCAGGTTTCGGGTGCCCCTGAGAGAGCCTGTCACCCCCTGGGCCTCACTTCCTCCCTTTTAAATGGTCAACTTGGGCTTAGAGATCTCTAAGTGCCCTCCCAGGTCAGCAGCTCTGATCCCTGCAGGGTTGTAATAAATTCCAATTATCACTTGCCAAAAAGATGCTGGATGCATGGATTGTAGCCATTCCAGTGTATTACCACCATCCCACTGGACTGAGTAGCAAACGGGCTTAGGAGAGGCAGGACCTGCCCCGGATCAGGTCACACAGTCCCCAGGCTGACACCAGGGCTGTCCAGGGCCAAAGCGGACCCCTGACACTCTAAGGCATGAGACACACGGCCAGAGGAAGAGCTCTCAGGAACTTCCTGTGGGAAATCCTGTGGCCACCCGCCAGCAACCCAGCTGCAGCTTCTCTTTAACCATCCCTGTGGGTCCGAGGTTGCCCCCTCCCACCTTCAGCCCGCCTGGACCCTGCTCTGCCATTGTGGACGGAGGTTCCCAATGAGCTCCCAGGACGGCTCCCGCCTGATTCCTAGACCATAGACGCTGGCCCTGGGCTGCCATCCAGAGCTGGGGGACAGGGGCTGTGGGGTGCCCTGCCTTCCATCCTCTGCTTATGTTTTAACTCATGGAGCAAATAGCAACAACTGTGGTCCTACAAAGACAAAAAGCAATTTCTAATTTTATCATGTCATCTTAGAGCATTTTCAGTCCTCTGGGGCTGTATCAGCACAGTCTTGGGCCAGGAAAGGTGACCTAGCCCAACCCCCAGGCCCAGCTGTGATCCTCTGGACAGCCTCCCTGGCACGTGGTCCAGCCTCTTGGGGGGTCCCACACTCTGCCTTGTGACTGCTCTGCACTTTGGGGTTCAGAGCTACCCCTGCCACCACCCATCTTGGCTCCATCATCCCAGTTCTGACTTCAAGTCCCCACCCACAAGGGGGCTCCGACAAGTTGGGGTTACAGACTTGGAAACAGACTGGGATGATGTAGCACGATCTGTGCAGTGCCAAAGGAAGGGGAAGAAGAGGGAGGCGAAATCTAGGAAGGCTTCCTGGAGGTGGAAGCGCCTCAGCTGACTCTTGGAGGAAGAGGGACTAGGCAGAGAGAAGGTGTAAAGGTCTGCCTGGGGACAGGGCCAGCCAGAAGAGCACATGAGCCTGGCCTGCTCCAGGTACGCAGCTTGCTGAAGCATCCCACAGCCACTTCTGGCGGCTGCAGATTCTGGGGGCAGGTCACCCTCTCGCCCTGAGGGTTAAACTACAACAGGCCATAAACATAAATGGTGAATCCCAGGAATGCAGAGGCCCTGGGGAGGGGGTGGGTTAGGGCTGGGGGACAGGACGACTCCCTGCTGGGTCTCTGCAACAGCCCAGACAGTGAAAGCAAGATGTACAGGTGATTCTAGAACAGGGGCAGCAGATGCTTTCCACAAAGGGACAGAGAACAAATAGGTTTGGCTTTTCAGGTCATAATGTGGGATCCACCAGAACCCTGCAGTTACAGCCTGAAATCAGGCTTAGGTGATAGGAAATGACTGGGCCTGGTCCAGTGCCAAGAAAACCTTATTTGCAAAACAGGGGTGGGATTTGGCCCTGGGTATAGGCCCTGCTCTAGAGAATGGGGCGGGATGGGGAATTCATGGAAAAGCCCCTCAGGATCACCCTGCCACTGACGCAGGAAGGAGTCACCACAAAACATCCCTTGCCACCCCGGAATTGGGACGTGGAAAGGTTCACCATTAGGGAAACAGGGAAGAACGGAATCTGACTCCATGTTGGATCTGTTTCTTTTACTTTAATCTTTGCTTTTTGTTGCTTTTGTTACTATAATCGCTAAAAGGATGCTGCCTATAGCTGCAAGCGTAGGTAATGGCCTGCCTCGGGGAACCCTGCCCCTCTGCCTGAATGTTAAACGAAAGTGCCTTTGTTCACCTCACAGGAAGACATTCTGACCCTGCCCACCTGTGAATGGCTGCAGAAAAGAAATTAACACATCCCCTCCCGGAGGCTGGCCAGGCCAGGAGATATTTTGCAAGACAGGCAAAAAAAAAGCCTTTTTGCTTTACTTCCTCCCTGTCTCTGTTCTATAAAAAAAACTGGCATAAGACCCAGATAAGATGGTACTCTAGGGGACTTCCCTGGTACTCTAGGGGACTTCCCTGCTGGTGCAGTGGTTAAGAATCCACCTGCCAATGCAGGGGACGTGGGTTCAAGCCCTCCAGGAAGTTCCCACATGCCGCGGAGCAACTAATCCTGTGCGCCCCAATTACTGAGGCTGCGCTCTAGAGCCTGCAAGTCACATCTACTGAGCCCGTGCACCACAGCTACTGAAGCCCGCGTGCCTAGAGCCCGTGCTCCGCAACAAGAGAAGCCACCGCAATAAGAAGCCCGCGCACCTCAACAAAGAGCAGCCCCTGCTCGCCGCAACTAGAGAAAGCCCACGCGCAGCAACGAAGACCCAACGCAGCCAAAAATTAAATAAATTTATTTAAAAAGAAAGATGGTACTCTAGGACATTAGTCCGCCATCTTCTCAGACGCCCGGCTTTCCAAATGAAGACGCTATTCCTTGCCTCAACATCTCGTCCCGATTCATGGGCCTGTAGTGCAGCGAGCAGACCGAGCTTGGATTCGGTAACATTAGGAGAGCATCTCAGTAGAGAACGGTGGAGCCTGGAAGACCAGTAATGGCCAGAGCTGAAGACCGTCCTGTGCTTGATGCCGGCTCAGGACACGATACGGGAAGCTGCACCCTTCCTCCCGCCTCCCGCTGGTTAGGACTACAGCTGCTAAATTATCGACGGTTACCGAGAACCGGCACTTGAGGATGTTCCCCGTAAACACAGGCGATTGGCTGCGAGGTGGCAAAGTCCGTCCTTCAGGCTTCGGGGGAACTGAGACTCGGGCAGAGAAAGCCCCTCACCCAAGGTCACAGGAGGGGGTGAATCCAGTACT